TAAATTAACATTTTTGATAAGGTACAGAGACAACACATTATTTAATTTCACACAGTAAAGGACATAAAGGGAAGGGAAGAAATAAAACAAAGGGCATCATGAAAAGTGTGGATTCCTCCTCTAATTAGGTCCTGGATCAGCTTGTATTCTTGTGGTACTATGTTTCTGTGACCAAGCAGTTAGTCCAGTTCAGCTTAGTTACCATCAGAAAATCTAGTTTGCATTTTCAGTGACAGGACCTGGAACTAGATATCAAGAGTCTAATCCACTATGGCAATTCCTGTGCAGTTCCTTCCTTTAGCATTAGTAAACAGTCTTAGATTAGTCATAATTCTGCAAATAACATGACAGAAACATTCATAGAATCATAGAATATCAGGTTGGAAGGGACCTCAGGAGGTCAACTAGTCCAACCCCCTGCTCAAAGCAGGACCAATCCCCAACTAAATCATCCCAGCCAGGGCTTTGTCAAGCCTGACCTTAAAAACTTCTAAGGAAGGAGATTCCACCACCTCCCTAGGCAATGCATTCCAGTGTTTCACCACCCTCCTAGTGAAAAAGTTTTTCCTAATATCCAACCTAAACCTCCCCCACCGCAACTTGAGACCATTACTCCTTGTTCTGTCATTGGCTACCATTGAGAACAGTCTAGATCCATCCTCTTTGGAACCCCCTTTCAGGTAGTTGAAAGCAGCTATCAAATCCCCCCTCATTCTTCTCTTCTGCAGACTAAATCCCAGTTCCCTCAGCCTCTCCTCATAAGTCATGTGTTCCAGTCCCCTCATCATTTTTGTTGCCCTCCGCTGGACTGCTTTCCAGTTTTTCCACATCCTTCTTGTAGTGTGGAGCCCAAAACTGGACACAGTACTCCAGATGAGGCCTCACCAATGTCGAATAGAGGGGAACGATCACGTCCCTCGATCTGCTGGCAATGCCCCTACTTATACAGCCCAAAATGCCATTGGCCTTCTTGGCAACAAGGGAACACTGTTGACTCATATCCAGCTTCTCGTCCACTGTAACCCCTAGGTCCTTTTCTACAGAACTGCTGCCAAGCCATTCGGTCTCTAGTCTGTAGCGGTGCATGGGATTCTTCCGTCCTAAGTGCAGGACTCTGCACTTGTCCTTGTTGAACCTCATCAGATTTCTTTTGGCCCAATCCTCCAATTTGTCTAGGGCCCTCTGTATCCTATCTCTACCCTCCAGCGTATCTACCTCTCCTCCCAGTTTAGTGTCATCTGCAAACTTGCTGAGGGTGCAATCCACACCATCCTCCAGATCATTTATGAAGATACTGAACAAAACCGGCCCGAGGACCGACCCTTGGGGCACTCCACTTGATACCAGCTGCCAACTAGACATGGAGCCATTGATCACTACCCGTTGAGCCCGACAATCTAGCCAACTTTCTATCCACCTTATAGTCCATTCATCTAGCCCATACTTCTTTAACTTGCTGGCAAGAATACTGTGGGAGACCGTGTCAAAAGCTTTGCTAAAGTCAAGGAACAACACGTCCACCGCTTTCCCCTCATCCACAGAGCCAGTTATCCACCATAGAAGGCAATTAGATTAGTCAGGCATGACTTGCCCTTGGTGAATCCATGCTGACTGTTCCTGATCACTTTTCTCTCATCTAAGTGCTTCAGAATTGATTCCTTGAGGACCTGCTCCATGATTTTTCCAGGGACTGATGTGAGGCTGACTGGCCTATAGTTCCCAGGATCCTCCCCCTTTTTTAAAGATGGGCACTACATTAGCCTTTTTCCAGTCATCTGGGACTTCCCCAGATCGCCGTGAGTTTTCAAAGATAATGGCCAATGGCTCTGCAATCACATCCACCAACTCCTTTAGCACTCTCGGATGCAGCGCATCTGGCCCCATGGACTTGTACTCGTCCAGCTTTTCTAAATAGTCCCGAACCACTTCTTTCTCCACAGAGGGCTGGTCACCTCCTCCCCATGCTGTGCTGCCCAGTGCAGTAGTCTGGGAGCTGACCTTGGTCGTGAAGACAGAGGCAAAAAAAGATTTGAGTACATTAGTTTTTTCCACATCCTCTGTCACTAGGTTGCCTCCCTCATTCAGTAAGGGACCCACACTTTCCTTGACTTTCTTCTTGTTGCTAACATACCTGAAGAAACCCTTCTTGTTACTCTTAACATCTCTTGCTAGCTGCAACTCCAGGTGTGATTTGGCCTTCCTGATTTCACTCCTGCATACCCGAGCAATATTTTTATACTCCTCCCTGGTCATTTGTCCAACCTTCCACTTCTTGTAAGCTTCTTTTTTGTGTTTAAGATCAGCAAGGATTTCACTGTTAAGCCAAGCTGGTCACCTGCCATATTTACTATTCTTTCTACACATCGGGATAGTTTGTCCCTGTAACCTCAATAAGGATTCTTTAAAATACAGCCAGCTCTCCTGGACTCCGTTCCCCTTCATGTTATTCTCCCAGGGGATCCTGCCCATCAGTTCACTGAGGGAGTCAAAGTCTGCTTTTCTGAAGTCCAGGGTCCGTATTCTGCTGCTCTCCTTTCTTCCCTGTGTCAGGATCCTGAACTCGACCATCTCATGGTCACTGCCTCCCAGGTTCCCATCCACTTTTGCTTCCCCTACTAATTCTTCCCGGTTTGTGAGCAGCAGGTCAAGAAGAGCTCTGCCCCGAGTTGGTTCCTCCAGCACTTGCACCAGGAAATTGTCCCCTACACTTTCCAAAAACTTCCTGGATTCTCTGTGCACTGCTGTATTGCTCTCCCAGCAGATATCAGGGTGATTGAAGTCTCCCATGAGAACCAGGGCCTGTGATCTAGTAACTTCTGTGAGTTGCCGGAAGAAAGCCTCGTCCACCTCATCCTCCTGGTCCGGTGGTCTATAGCAGACTCCCACCACGACATCACCCTTGGTGCTCACGCTTCTAAACTTAACCCAGAGACTCTCAGGTTTTTCTGCAGTTTCATACTTGTGCTCTGTGCAGTCATACTGCTCCCTTACATACAATGCAACTCCCCCACCTTTTCTGCCCTTCCTGCCTTCCTGAACAGTTTATATCTATCCATGACAGTACTCCAGTCATGTAAGTTATCCCACCAAGTCTCTGTTATTCCAATCACATTATAATTCCTTGACTGTGCCAGGACATCCAGTTCTCCCTGTTGTTTCCCAGGCTTCTTGCATTTGTGTATAGGCACTTGAGATAACTCGCTGATCGTCCCTCTTTCTCAGTATGAGGCAGGAGCCCTCCCCTCTTGCGCGCTCCTGCTCGTGCTTCCTCCCAGCATCCCACTTACCCACTTACCTCAGGGCTTTGGTCTCCTTCCCCAGGTGAACCTAATTTAAAGCCCTCCTTTAGGTTAGCCAGCCTGCTTGCGAAGATGCTCTTCCCTCTCTTCGTCAGCCCATCTCTGCCTAGCACTCCTCCTTCTTGGAACACCATCCCATAGTCAAAAATCCAAAGCCTTCTCTCCAACACCACCTGCGTAGCCATTCGTTGACTTCCACAATTTGATGGTCTCTACCCAGGCCTTTTCCTTCCTTCAGGATAGTTATAACGTCTACCCAAAGAACCATCACAGGGATGTCTACTTAATTCAGTCAATGTATAATTAGAACCAAACAACAGAAATTAGGTCATATTAAAAACAACTTTTAGCCTGCTTTTGGATTGTTTTAGATAGGTTGTTCACTTATGGGTTGATTTTCAAAGGTGCTGAGCACCTTTAACTCTCTCTGACTCCTATGGGATTGGGAAGTGCCCGACACATCTGAAAAAAATCAGATCTCTGAGGTGTCAGAAAGTTTCCATTTAAGTAACAAAAAAAGGCAAAGCTCTGAACAGCATAGAAATGGATGTTGAGAAACCCCATGATGACAAGGGACTATGGACCTGACTTTCAAAAGTGCAGAGCATCTGCAATGCCAACTGAAGTCCATGGTGCACCCTTTTGAGAATTGGACACAAGTGAAAAGTTGTGTGACAAACACATGATAAAGCCGGGATCTTCAAAAGTGACCACTGAGGTGGGGTGTTTCCATTTCTGGATGTCTAAATTGAATCACTTTAAAGTGGCCTGAATGTCAAAGTGCTTGTGTGCAACATTTTCTGAATATAAGGCCACTTTTAAAGTATCTTGTGTTCGGCATGAGTAGCATCACTAGTCACTTTTGAAAATCTTGGCCATGCTAACTGAAGAGCACTACCACTGCTGAGCAGGCTGATAGATAATATGGGGTTCCTACGTATAACAATACCAACTGTTCATTTCAAGCCAAAGTCATAGGAAGGCATTTTATTCATCAATAAAAAAGAGGGAGATCAGCCCTAAAATAACAGTATTTTGTTGGTCTTAAGTTTAGAAACTAAGATTTTATTTGTTTTGCCTTCCCCCTCACCTTCTCTGCAGCTCCCCCCACCCCTGACAAGTTCCAAAGACACTTCCTTTTAAGACCAACTTAGTTATTGAACTTTTAACCTTTTCTCCTAAATGTAACTGGACAACTGCCTGTCTTTGATTTTACAATTTTAGTTTATTATTATATGAAATTATGTGCTTGTAATTTAACACCACATTATCTGCAGGAAAACTTATCAACTGTAACAAAGAGACAAACCTGACAAAAATCTTACTGTGAAGAGGAAAAATAGGAAGACTCAAGGATTCTTTAGCATTTAAAAAAAAAACACGTTAATTTCTCTCCTCCACCCCAAGCACCCACACTGAGTCCAAAACTCCCCCAGTTCAGTTGTAGTCAGAGTACTCTGGCAGTCCAAGCAGTATTATAAAATGTACTATACAGTGGGTGGCTTTATAAGTCCTAACTGACCAAAAAATCACAAGTCAAAACATGTAGCACTGCATGCAAGAGCTGGTTTTAATTAGAATTCTCAGTGTGGGATGGAACAGCTTGATTACCTCCAGGGAACATGGAACTGGAAATGTGCCAGCAACAACAGGCTGACTAGTCTGGAATGTAACAAATGACAAACGCTTCTATAATGGACACAGACTAATGATGTAGGGACTGACTCTTCTCTTCTCATTGGTCGTGAATCGTATCTTACTCCACAGACATCCCCACTGGCTTCAGTAGGACTGCTCACCAAGTGAGGTATTATTATTATTAAATGTGAGTAAATGGGGAGCAAAGTCTGGGCTTTAAACATGCTCTAGTTGAGTAGGTGCTAGTGAGTTGGAGATGAAGTGGGAAATGTCAAATTTAAAGCACATTTCTACTCTGAAAACTATGTAACCTGCTTACTCATCGGGGCTACGATTTAGCAAAGCTCTTAAGTGCTGTCCTGAATAGGGATGCTTTCCTTCGGTGAACTCAGCCCTGTCAAAGGGATGAATGCAAGCCTTATGAGCAAAGGCTGAAGGAACTGGGCATGTTTAGTTTGGAAAAGAAGAGATTAAGGAGGGATATGATAGGGTCTTCAAATACTTTAAAGCCTGACATAAAAAGATGGAGAAAAGTTGTTCTCTCTTGCCCCAGAGAGCAGGACTGGAGGCAATGGGTTCAAACTACAGCAGAGCAGGTTTAGATTAGGTCTCAGGAAAAACTTCCTAACTGTAAGAACAGTAGGACAATGGAACAGACTGCCTAGGCAGGTTGTGGAAGCTCCTTCTCTGGAGGTTTTCAAAAGGAGGGTGGATAGCCATTTTAGATGGTTTAGACACAACAAATCCTGCATCTTGATGGGGGTTAGACTAGAGGACCCTTGTGGTCCCGTCTAACCCTGTGATTCTATGTCTCTTTACTTCAGTGACAAAAATAAAAGTTTACTACTTTTTACTCCTGTTAGCCCGACCGTTAACAGAGCGAGTGGGTTTCTATTCCTTCTGGTGAATCAGCCGAAGCAGCCACTAAGCTCCAATTCCAGAGCCAAACAATTACACCTGTTCGGACTCTGGCAGCAGTGGTTGTTGACACCAGTGTCATAAGAAGTGCAATCCATCACCAGTGGAGTTGCACGGTTCTCATCCGGGGCGTTATTTGATCTGCTGAATCTTTATCACTAGAGGTGGCATTCAGTTTATTAGCAATAGTAGTAATCGGTGACCTTTGTGCAAAAGCTCTTGGAGTCTAGAAAACAGGGGCAGAGAGATCTTGCAAGATTTTCCATTACTTCTTCCTTCAGGTCAAGCTGGAGGTCTGACAAAAATAAGCCTGTTGTATTGTTGGGGAGGAGTGAGAGCCTGAACAGAATAGCCTCCCTGTTAACACATTTCTGCCGTTGTGATGAGAAAGCAGATAAGATTAAAAAAAGTGAGAAAGAAGATGTGCAACCTCCACAAAATCTTTGAGGCGATGTCTTTATTCCTTTTGTGGAAAATCATTATTTACAATTTGGGGCTTTGAATGCCATATCTGATGCAATCTGATCAGATCCAAATTATCTCTTGAAAGGGAGAAAATATTGTCTGGTAATTTAGAGCAGGAGACAGCCAGCATTCCTTGGTTTTATCCCAGGCTGCACTATGGTTTTGCTCTTTCACCTTGGGCAAGTCATGTAACTGATCCACGCCCTAATTCCCATTTGTGAAATGGAGATAATTCTCATCTACCTCTGAGACATCTATAATTGTACTTTGAGATCCTTGGATGAAAGGTAATATATGAAAGTGCAAATTAACACCGCTGTCTGACATCCACAGATGAAAGTAGCTATGGAAGTGCTGCCGCTGCTGCTAAATGAAAACGAAAAGCAACAGGTAAGAGAACATTTTCCTGAGTATGCTGTGGATTTCTTTGCCAACAGCCTCCACTCCTAAATGCTCATGCAACACAGGAATAATAATATCTAGCTCTTATTACTGACACCCCTCTGAAGTAGATGAGCGTTGTCCTCAAGGTCACACAGCAACACCAGGGTAAAGCCTGGGACAAAACCCAGTGAAGCTGCTCTATTCCTAGACAATACTTTTTTACTATTTAAGAGACATTTTGGACCTGATCCTCAGATGGTATAAGCTGGCAAAGCTCTAGAATCTGGCCCATTTTCTCCTAAAATAATAGGATTTTTGCTGTTATAGAACACTTATTTAGACAATATCAGCTCTCCCCTCTCACTTTGGCCTTCCAGACAGCCAATGAATGTTTTATGAAGAAAGGAGGTGGGTGTTGAGCTATTGGTTATAACAAAACCTAGATCAATTTCTCTTTGCTTGCCATCTGTTTTTTTTGTTTGTTTGTTTGTTTTTTGTTGTTGTTACAAGGAAAAGCTAAGTGAATTTTTTTAATTGCCTAAACTGTGAAGTGATATATACCCAGTTATTGATCTCTTTTAACTGACCTTGTTAATCATTTACTGAGTTTTAAAACAGAAGCTCCAGCACTATTGATTTGACTCAAAAGGCTGTTCATAAGCCTTAGGCGCACAGCTAGGGTTGTTCCAAACAGAAGATATTTTATATGTCATTTTTATTGACCTAGATGAAGACACGTAAATATCAATGGTTAGTTATGAGTGGCTGTACTGGCGAGGGATTGTTTGGGAAGAAAGGACTTACAGAAAACAAGAATATAGATCCAACTGCTGTCAGGAAGAAGAAATTAATATAATTCATCATGCAGTAATGGCTATGGCTCAGGACGATTGAGCATGAGGAAAGGTGGATGTGCTGGCTACATTTATCCCCCCATGGAAATCCCAGCATGACTGTATTATCTCTATTCAATGAAGAGACACTGTGCATATCAAATAACCACTGCGAAAATCCTCCCTGAGGCCTCAATTCCACAAGCACCTGTATGGAGCCCCACTGACTTCTACATGTATCAGGTCAGTGCAATTGACTTCAGCTGGTGCAGGGTCCACACGGAGTAGCTTGCAAGACTGGTGCCTTAGATTACAAGCTCTTTAGTCAGGCACTGAGGCTACCTCTGGTGTCTGGAGTGCATAGCCCAGCAGGGCCCTGATAGATGCTACTCTAATATAAATATTTAGACTCCTGACTGGTTTTGCATGCCCCCAATCTGAGGTGAGGGACACAGAGTTAAAGAGAACAGTCAGTAACACTGCTTGGTTCCAGTCAGCTAAGAGGTTTGATTGTTATTTATGTTGTGGTAGTGCCCAAAACCCCCGTTGTACTAGGCATTGTACACAGCTCAAGCAAAAAAAGGCAATCCCTGCCCCCAAAGAACTAAGTATAAGATAACAGGTGGATGTAGAAAGATGGGGAAGCATGAAGAAACAAGCAGACGCTATGGGATAGCAGGAAAGGCAGTGGTCTCAGCAAACCACCAGCCCAAAAGAGGCTCCTCCTTTTTGAAGGATTTGTCCCTTCAAAGCACAACTGTGGCTTTAGGTGATAACTTCTAAATTGGGAGGCAGAGGATGAAATTCTTTTAAAAAGAGCTTGTGTTTTATTTTCTGGGCAAGTGAGCATCCAGTAATCATAGGTCTTAAAAATACAGTTAAGGAGAGCTTACTGGGTCTTTGGCTAGTGTAGGTCCCTGGCCGCTCCCACATGACTCCATTCCTCTTTAAATTCCTTGTAATGGTTAATTACCTGGTTTGGAATCTAATATCACATCAATTCATATCAGCTCCCTCTCCCTGGTGCCTTTTAGGGTACAGCATGCCCTAGAGCACAATCTTTTCTTTCTTGGCTTAAAGTATGGTGGAGCAGAATTATCCCCAGCAAAATACTGTCACAGGTTTGGACACATACATTTTACATCCATTGAAAGAGTTACAGAAACTGACCCAATGTTCTAAACTAGGAAAAACCTGCTCTGTAATATGGAATTACAGTGTCCATTTTAAACAAAGCAGGTATCCAAAAGAAGAAGTGACAATTGGAGTTAGAAGGACACTCTTTTGAAACACACATTAGCCTGGGCACATAGATTGAGGAGGCAATTCTTTGTTAACCTTTGTTAGCCCATTCGTGGGGAAGAGCTAAAGGAAATGTATGCTGCACATTTAATACAGATGCTATGATGAAAAGCCAAAATGCTCATTTACCTTTTGCATCTCAAAACAGGATTTGTTTCACTGACAATCGTATTAAGATATAAGCACAAAACCAGGAGTAATTCCTTTCATTAATTTCAATGTTACCTATGGAAATCAGAATAAAATTATATTTTAGCAGCGTTGACACAAAAATAATGAGATAGTTAGTGCTGCAAAAATTAAAACCTTATTTCATAAATAGTTAATGTGATTAGAATCTATTTCCCAAGCCTGCAACTAACTGAGTATCCCACAAGATACTAGACCCAAAACAGACCCACAGATTTACTGAGACTGTAGTTTACATATATGTGGAGCCCTACAATAGTCCTGGGTGATAAAGTTAAGCAGGTTGGTGCCAAGAAATTTTTGCAGACAAAATATCACCTACAAAGCAGACTGTGAATTAAAGGCCAGCTAACAGTATTTTATTAAGTACACTTGACTTAACAGAATCATTTACTTACACCTGCAGTGTTTTGTGTGTACCATAAAAAAGTGAGGTAGGATTCCAATTCGCACTGTTATAATTTATTAGTCTGGTTGGATTCACTTTTTTTAAAAATAGTTCTGAAATTCAGCACATTCTTTATACTCTAATAAAAGTTCATCTGAGTACTGAGCTGCACGACTAATCGTTTCTCAAGGGCTGAGTACATAAAGATTCTCCTTAAATGTAAATACGTTTTGTCCTAGACTAAGATGCAGAGGTTTTGAGCTGCATCTTGTTTTTCTACAGTGGCTGAGCGGGAATTTTGTATGTATTCAAGTTTCTTGCCACTCTGTACTCTCATTTTCTCCTTTAAAAATTGAATCTACTCACACCATTTTCATTCATCTGCAAGCTGCTCATTGAAATCAAATCCAGGTTTAGGAGAAGGAAGTGGCTTACGGACATGTCCTCCATAGTTTCCTTTATAGGACCAGCTTAGCCCTTTGGATGGGCAGTAGGATACTATCTCATATGGCCCCCTATACCATACTATTGGAGTCTCACACTCTTTAAATGTATTTATCCTCACCACCCCTCTGAGGAAAGGAAATGCATTATCTCCCTTTACAGGTGGGGAACTGAAACACAATCAGGAGATCTGGGCTCAACTCCTGACTAACAAGAACTTTGACAAGCAACCTCAGACAGTTACTTAATCTGTCTCTGCCTTGGTTTCCCAGGTGTATAGGATACTTCAATTCTCCCAGTCTATGGGTCTTTAGATTTTAAATTCATCAGGGCAGTGACTATCTCCGACCAAATGTATGTACAGAACCTTGCCTAAGAAACGTTAGGGGCTCCAGGGAAGTGATTACTACGCTGGCCAGGGAAACTCCCGAGAACAGTGCTTGTTAAGAGTGCTAGTTTGTGTACATACTGCCTAACCATGCCAAATACCCCCATACAAAACCACTTTGACTCGGCGAAGCTTGGAGACTGTTTATTGCACTATCAGTCCCTGTCTACAAAGGCCAAGGCCTAACAGGATTTATGTTTAAATATGGTCCACAAAAGCCTGTTGAGGTAGTATTGTGCACCTGCTCTTGCTCAACCCCTTTAAAGGATTGCAGTGAATAGGGGGGCAGGGCAGAGCAAGGGTTACTGAAAATGTTTTCTGGCCTGGCTGGCAAAATGGCTAAAGCCAATCCTGTACCCCACCCTAAGCACACAAACGATCCTTGTGTAAGAAGAGGTAAAATCAAGGAAGGAGGAAAGGCATACACTCTGGGGGGATGGCCACATCAACTACAGTCAAGAAGCCAAAGGCTGGAGGTTCCTAGGTTTACGTTAAATGTTGCTACCTCTTTACTAGAGTGAACTAGTTTTCAAGGGTGCTGGGTTCACCTAACTCTGCTCCCTTTGAAATTAATGGGAGTTGAGTGAGGCTAAGACTGAGCTTTTAAAAATCCACCAGAAAACATCTTGTGCCTGGATCAAACAAGGGAGAGCAGCCCTCCAAAGATTTACTTTTTTGGCAGCAAGATGCCATCACACTGCTGTTCAGCGGTGTCAGCAAGAGTACTGGGGAGGCAGATTCTAAACTGAGATGCAAAAAGATAAGTCACACTATAAAGCTGTGAGAATATGTTCCTATACCACATGTCTCAATCTCTCCTTCCCCATCTTATAGGGACCTCATTTAGAGAGACGAATTTAGAAGCCAGTGGCAAACTGCACAGCTTGGTGAGTCAACACATACACAAGCAATTGTTCTGGCCCCAGTGAAAAGTTCTCGCTTCCTCCTGTTTAAGCATACCTACCTCACAGAAAGCAATCTGTGAATGGAGGGCTACCAAAGGTAAAATGAAGAGGCTTTCATGTTTCTTGGGCAGACACATGTATGGACTGATAGAGACGACTGAACTCTGATGAGCAAACCAGGTTCTATAGGTCAGACAGTCTGTATCCATGGACTATTTAGTGCTTTGAGCTACACAGATGCTAAATAGCAACCCACCATTTTACACTTTAGTTTCTGTAACAGGCAAAAAGGACAAAGGTCTTCCGACTCAAATGGCAATACTACACTTTCCCATTTGCTCTCACTACACATATGGACCTCCATTGGCATCAACTCTGGTCTCTGGCATCCAAAAAGCAACTGAGTAGTAAAGCAAGCATGTTAAGAGAATATTGTTTTAGTAGTTTACCTCCATACCCATTTAAAAAAGTAAAAAAAAAAGAGGCAAGATGTCAGACATTAAATAGCTTTAAAGTGAACCGTAGGAGAAAAATACCACCTCTAAACCAGCAAATTTGAAGACAGATGAGGGGGGAAAAACCACAGATCTACAGCCTTTTTGTGCCAATTTTTAATTAGGAATACAGATTAGAAATTAGACATAGAACCTGCTATGTGCATAAACCTCCATGAAGAGTAAAATGGTCTGTGTGACATGTATTATTTAGAGATAGACTACTGAGTCCCAGAGTTAAAATATACCAGATATATGTACCCTATATATAATCAAACCAGATATATAATCTTAGGCCATGACAAAATTTCCATATATTTGTTGACTAGCAGAAATGCAAGGTTCTGTGCTTAATGAATTAAGATAACTGGAGTGAAATTGGGATCTGTGTGGCATTTAATTCTCTAACAATCAATGGAAATTAAATATTAATTTGTGTGTCTTAAGTGGAAAAGTATGCAAAAGGTGGGATAGGAAAGCAGGGAACAGCAATAAGCAGTAAGCATTAAGCAGAATTAAGGTATTTAATCACCACTTGACTGAGGTTGGAGTGAAGAGTGTTAAATAGTCAAACCCACATCATTTTTTCAACAAGCTATGCATTTCATTTCTTGTTTTACATTGTGTTAAGCTATCTTCTGAAGTTCTCTGCAGCGTAACATTGAAAATACTTTATCATCCCTTTATCAGCAAGCTGTGTTATTTTACACCTTACAGGACTTTCAGGTCCTCACTCTCCCTGCTAGTATTCCCTTACACACATTCTAAATTACAAAAAAAGCAAATCTGTAGATCTTAAAGGACAACAGGATGAAGAAAGTTAATAAGCTATTACACCAGAAAGATGCTCTAGCAGTTATGGGACTAAAGTCTCACTCACGCAGTCAGTGCAAGTTTTTCTTCAAGTTAGGACCAAGTAAGAACTTGGAGCTGACCCTTTGTCTTCCATTCACCTTGTGGAGCACAGAGGTGAATGCCTGGTGGGATTAGATCTGATACGCTTTGCCTTTGTTTTATTGATAAAAATTCCCATGGGCTGGAGAAAAAAATTCCAGTTGAGAACTACATTTCTGATAATATTCCATTCCTTCTAAGAGTATGGTCTGATGTCACAAGTAACATGTTTTATTACTTAAAAAGCATTGTGTTAACATCTAAAAATATGACAAATACAAACATGTTACTTTAATTCCTTTTCATTTGGAAATTGTTGCAATTCAAAACACTACTATGGCTAAAGAAAAGGGTACACTGATATTTTTAGCACTAGGCAGTACAAGTTACATGCACACACACATTGCTTTGAGCAATACCATCTTTTCAGATGTTCAATAGATTTCCTAATAAATCCGGTAACTATAATACTGGTAACCCCCAATTTCTTAACAATAAATAAGTGATTGAGTAATACCCTAATTATAAAAAAGCCTTTATTAACATACAAATGAAGTACTATGCCAGTATTACATGGAAGTCAGAACCACTTCAGGCACAGTTAAGAAATAGCATGGAGGGAGCTATATGGTTGCAGCTGTTGTCCACCCTCCCCTCTGGTGCCTAGGTCTTTTTTAAAAGTGTTTTATATTTAGTAGCTAAATAAATACTATAATAAAAGTGAAGTACATGGCTGGTAAAGGAAAAGCTTGTGGCTCAGCAATGTCCATAAAGGTTTCCACGTTGGAGTTCTGTTTTCTACATTTGCTGCAAGGAAGCAACCTCACATGTGCAACATGCACACTGTTAAAAAGAATAAATATTCTTGAATTTCATCACATTCTAGCAACATAATGGAAGGCAGATGAGTCAGATTAACTTCTCTGAAAGTAGCAGTGAACATAACAGCTTGTGCAAATTGCCTACCCTAATGGCATTTCAAGTCAGGACAGTCAAAAGAGGAACGTGCCAAAACTTCCTTTCCCATTTCGTTTGAACTGATTGCCCACGATAGAAACAAACATTTCCTGAGACATTAAGTTGTCATCAGCCTCTGTGATTCCCAGTTCACTCAGCCTTTTCTTGTGCATCTGGCTCTTCTTTACAGAGGTAGCAACAAGTTCATTTGCAATTTCATAATTGCCTGCAGTTTGTTCAGAAATCTCAGCTCTCTCATGGAGCTCCAATTCACCTGTTGCACATTCATGTAGCTCTTCATGTCCCAAATCTTCTACATTGTCTGTCCCACCGTTTGACTGGATAGTCTGTATATTTCCTAAATCCGAAAACAGTGATGAGGTTATTACAGACTGTGCAGATGCCTGGAGGAGCTGAACTAATTAAAGTGTCAGATTCGGAATACTTTGAAATTTAGGGGTTTTCTTTAAGTCTTATTAAACAATGAAAATATTCCCCATATTGCAATAACTTTCAAGTATTACATAGTTCAGCTACATCAGCTCTTGTCAATAAGAGCTAATTCTTCCAATGCAAACACAAAGGTACAGTACATATAGCACAAAGAACAAAGTCAGGTGGCAACTGAGATATCCAATGACAATCCAGCATTAAGAGTTAAAATCCAAGAAGAAGTTTTCAAGGTGATTGCCACTGGAAACAGCAAAGTGGCAAAGAATATTTTATGAAAAGTTCAGAGAAAAAATTCATCAGTTTCCTCCTACCACCCTTTTGGGATGCAATTTTAATGATAGCCCCATATATTCCAAGTATACGAGTGTGATGCTTAAGAAAGAATCTGTAGACTTAAATAAATTACTCAGAGACAGTCAAGTATTTGAGAGAGAGACAGCTGAGTGGGGATAAGATATTGCAACTGAGAGCTTAGTATCTTTTTTGGAAATAAGACATGGAAAGTACAGTTGTCAAGTGATATTTATGGTGGGGAACAACTACACTGGGAGGAATAAGCTAGATCCAACAAGTCTCATTTCTGCTGCATGGTGGAACAGGAGAGCAGAAAATTAATATGGGTAGTAAAGGGTCGTGGGAGGAATATGCCCACTTTCTCCCTGACAACATGCCATTTTGTGTGTGTGACCAAGTAATTAGTTCCAGTCCTGTAGGATCTGCATAGTGGAGCAGACAGGTCCAGCAGGCAAGAATCAACTGGAAAGCTCCTTTTCCTCACTGAATAGCTACACTCCATTTAAGATGGACTCAGACGCACTAAACGAGTGGCTGGGTCAGAGGGGAGACAAATGGAAAGCCTCAAGGACAACTAGCATGGAACAGAGATTAAAACTCCTTTTATTGCAGAAAGTGTCATATTTTAAATGGCTAAGTAGTCAGGATGTTCTGAAAGACCATCATGCCAGCTGCCCGATACTGGCTTCCAGTGCCCAGAATAAGTTTTTACAAATGCTTTGATATCATTGGATAAAAAAGTGAAATTGAAGTACAAGTAATTACACACATGCAGCCTGCAGCTACTCCTAAACATTCCTTTGCAGCAGCTGTGATCTGGGAAATCTCAGTCCTCTGATAATTATAGGGAAGTCAGACCTAGATTTACATTTTTTTCTCCTTATTAGAAAGTTTAAGACTTTCTGCCAAGTTATATGATGTGCATTTTCTAAATATTTTACAGAAACCATAGATTCACCACTACATTTAGACTCCTATTAAGTCACTAGAGTTAAAAAAATACCTTCTGAATTTTTGACAGCAATGTCTTTTACATCAGAGGAAACGGTAGATTTAACCAGGACGACTCCATACCCGTCATTATTATGGATCACATTGTTCACCATGGTGATCTTGGGAATGTCATAATGCTCATCTAAGAAATCCTATAGCAGAAGACAAATGAAAAAAAGATTTACATAACCAATTCTCAGAAAGGGAATTTCAACCTAGCTAGAATGTCTTCTCTAAAAATGAAGATAATACAAAATAACTTCATCTATTTGTATATTTAAGGGACATAAATATAGTCACCATTTTCCTTGTTGCAGCCATGAAATAGGACTATTTCGCTATAATAGACAAAAATTTAAATCCACTGCTTTCAATGTTATCATACCTTGTCTTTCAAATAAGTTAAAATAAAAAAAGTAGTGACATCATGAGATAACTAACTAGAATAGTTACTGGTAGGTACCAATCTGAATAGGTATGATCTTGATAACTGATCAGAGCACGTTCCATCTGGAACTCACTTTTATGAGGATTCCCTCCTTGCAGTGGTGTATGCCATTGCCCAGCAGGGTACATGTGCTACCTGGGTATATTTCCACACCAGCACCCTGTAAATTAAAGAGACATATCACAAATGAGTCAGCAAGTTCCCAGTGTAACCCATTACCCCAAAGTGGATCTTTGTCTCTACCCAGTGGCTACATGATAAGAGTCTTCTATTTCTTCCTGTTCTTGGCTTAGTAAACTAAGTCAGGTAGGAGATGCTCATGGTTCAATCCCCACTGGCAATGCTGCTACCACACCACAACAGTTCTGTTGGGATGAGATTGCATGACACATGCACAGAGATGTATTTTCTCTTGAATACACCACACCAGTCCTAGGAAATCCAGTGATTTTTTTGTGATGTAATGAAGTGTTAGATTTTGATCATCTCCTTGTAAGAATCAATAGGTAACATGTTCAAAAACAGGCAGTTCAGCTGGAGAAAGAATATCAGTTTAATGAGAGACAAGACCATTTAAGGTGCACAAAACAGGCTCATTTTAAGAACAGCCTTATCCCATGAATCAGCTCCAAGAATGCACCTGGGGTTATTTCATAACTGACTCTTGGTTATGGTTTGATTTTCAGTCTCACATGCAAGTCAATATGAGTCTCCCCTCGTAGAAACATACTACATAAGAGGTTAAGAGAATTTTCTGACTGATTTCTTAAACACCAATTATATTTAGCCATCTAATGGAAAATACCGGTGGTTTTTTAAAGGATCAAGGAACTCATCCACTTTCCTGATTATGATTCCCTATTTGCCCGCAGGGAGCTTCACTTTATTCAAGATGGAGTTTTGTTTCAAAAAAATATTTAAAAGTTAGTTCACACCTTGGCACCATACAGATCAGAGTTCTTCATTAATAGCTCTGCTGATGTCCGCACAGTAACCCCTGTAGTTTCACACTGTAGCACACAGTTCTCCAGTGTGGTTTTCCCATGGTGAACACCTGCAATCAAAGACATCCAGTGTCGACATTAGAGATCATTCTAAAAGAGACAGTATAATGGATGATCTATAACAAGAGGAATTTTCTGTTCATCAGGCCAGACAGATACTGTAATGAGAACATATTAGAATAATATCTGTTAAGGAAACATTTTTTCAGTCTGATTTCAGTGGAGCCCAAGCTGGACACTACCATTCAGGCTTTTTAACGAGTATGCTCTCAAAAGTATTTATTTTCTGGGTAACAAACCAATGAAAGTTAAGTGGAAACGATTTCCATACACATTCAAAGACACACTGTTGCGGTGCAGCTACTTTCCAGCACATCAGCAGCATAATCTGAGTCCAAAACCAGGGAGGATGAAGGCAATGTATTAATGATCCTCCAGTGGCAGATACTGTATTCAATGAAAAGGCTCTTTTGCTATATATATACATATACATATATATACACACACCCACAGCCCCTGCTGCTTGTTTCCACTGTGGAAAGGTGTACAGCCAAAGCAAATGGGGCACAGCTAGGACAATGCAGATTCTCAGTTGTGTTTTCAGCCCTTGCCCCACGGCCAATGCAGCCCAACTAAGTCTGAGTAGTTATCAGGCTGCTCAGTCAGGGGACATGAGGACCAGGACCAACCCCACACAGAGCTGCAGCAGGATCAGAAATGTGCAAATTACCTTTAAAGTTAACACTCTTGAGTTTGACACTGGATAGTAACAGTCTGTCCGGCGCACATAGTACTGTGATTGGGACCACAAGCATGTTTGATGTATACCTAGCCTGCAAGATCAACTGTCCTCCTGACATACTTCAGAAAGTCTGAAATAAGAAAGTGGCCAAGTATATGCTGGCGATGGCCAAACCATGGCTCGTGAGCCACGTGTGACTCTCTTATTGTTAAAGTGTGGCTCGCGGAGCCCCCCCTCCCCCCATTCTCCACCTACCAGACTGGGGGGTGGGGGAGAGAGCTCAGGACTTCTGCCTTGCAGCAGAGTGATGGGGTAGGGGGTTCTGCTCAGTGGGGGCGGGGGAAAGGGGTCTCGGGGCTTCAACAGGAGCAGAACTGAAGCCCCAAGCCCTGGCGGGTGTGCCCTGGCTCTTGAACTTCTGAAGATTGTCGTATGTGGCTCAGAGGGTCAGTAAGTTTGGCCACCCTGGTACATGCGCAAACATAGCCCTAGACCTGCTACATGACCCAAATGATCAAACAAGCAAAAATATGGTAAAGTTTTGCCTTTACACCTTAGTGGATAATTTTCAGGTTTCGACTTTCAGAAGATTAAAGCAAATTTAAATAGAATTAGACCTAACCAACCTAAATTTAAAGGTAACAATGCAATAAAGTCATAAGTGTTTTGGTCTACAGGGGGCTTAGAGCCAAAGAGTTCACTGTCTGCATAACTGTTGCCAGATAACTCCAAGTATGTGTGATAATGATAATGGGATGGTCACTGTGAATATTTACAAATGGGCCAATACTTGGCAACAACAGGTATCTGATAGTGATTTATAAATTTGGCTTGGGCACATTCTCAGTCCAAAGGAGGAGCTCCCAATATTACTGCCCACAGCTGACGGAACTAGACACCTGTTGGAAAAATTGTGGTGAAAATACAGAAAGTTATTTCTTCCCATCCTGTGGCGGCTTTAATATCCAGCTCTGCAACAAAGGAGGACTGGCCCCTCTCTTATTTCTTCATGTGTTACCACCTCTTAAAGTGTTCACCTGCTGCCACCCAAGCAGAGTTTAGTCAACAAACGCTTTCATACATTTGCAGCATGGGCCTGCGGAGAACTGTGCCATACCCTAAACTGATTTTGTTCAATGCTAACTTAGAAAAGAGGACAACTGTCTAGCTTTGCTGACTCTCTCTCATTCATTGCATGGTTTTACAAGAGAAAATAATTCAGAGTAATGCATTGATTTGGCTTAATCCCACAAAGAAAATCAGGGATGCATGTAACACAGCAAAACAGGATAACTAGAAGATCTTTTGCAATACAAATAATCATCATCATATATCTGAGACCAAAACAATTACACACACGGATGTTCTCACATGCCAGTGTACATGTAACCCGGTGGATGTGATCTGGATTATACTTATTTTTATAACTAAATCAGTTCAGTAACACTGATGCAAAAACCTAATTCACTTGAACTAATCCAAATTGTGCTTATACCAGTTTCTCAATTTCATAAATTTCTGAATTAAGCTAAAATCAATTTAAATTTGCCTACAATAGTGGTTTGCACAGGTATAACTAAAAACAAATAGTTACACCAGTGCAAGTTTTCTAATATAATCCAGGCCCTTTGTTGCAAAGGAACATTAGAGTTTTGGGTTTTTTTGTGTTTTTTTTTTTTTTTTAAATTTCAGCAGTAACCTCTCCATATCAACCTTGATTCCCTTTCTTTGTGAAGATGTTTTTCCTAAGTTGATAAAATATGAAATACCTACATGAAGGTGCTAAGCACTTTAAAGTGATATTTATTTCAATCCACGTGTATTTAGTGAAGTGTTAATTAGCATCTTCTCCAAAGGCAGATGGGCAGGACACAATAAGTTTATCTTCAGATGGAACTAATTTTTCCTTAGATGATCAAAAGAATAGTCTGAGTGATACTCTATTCCAAGAAACGATGAAAATAACAGCCTGTAAAGTAGCATGGTTTTGCTTACAAAATGCAGATTCTCAACTGAAGGGTTTACAGCATGAGAAAAATCTTATTAACCTGAGACCAGGGCAGGCAGCAGTGCTTTCTGGGGAAGCAACGGGATCAGGTTCTCGATTGCTGGACAAGGACAACAGGAGAGGTCAAGTGACATGAGGCACAATAGCACAAAGCTGCCAGTCAGAGGGTAGGGAACAAAAGGGAAAGAGGCTGCTTAGAGCTACAGAACTGAGCTGCCAGCACGAAGAGTGGGGAATGGGCCTACTGGATAGCTACATAAATATTGTTTGAGGAAAGGGACAAAAGAAGTATCCTGCTGAGCAGGCTTATGGCTGAGCCTCAGTTCGAATGTGCTGTCAGCAAGCGGAGGGGTTGGTGGTGACTAAGGAGAGGAAAGGTTGGTTCAGCAATAGTCAGGTATTTCCAAGGCAGTTCTCTCTGCCAGTAAGGTGAGCAGGTTTCATTCACCAGCCAAACTGGAGTAGGTGATGTAGCAATTTTTAGAGGCAGGTAGACTTCGCAACTAAATTTCCTTTAAACTGCTAGGCCGCACCCCTCCCCGCCAGACCTGCCCTGGACTTGCAGCACACAGCCAGGGGAGAGGAGCCCCTCCCACGGCCCCGCCCCACTGGTGATGCTGGGCAGAGGAGCCCCTCCCTTGGCCCGGCCCAGGCCCAGGCCTGCCGGAGCTTCCAGCGAGAAGCGCCTCTCCTCTGGCCCCGAGCTCCTGAGGTGAGAGAGGGCTGAGGGGGGTCCTCTCTCCCCACCACAGCCCCAGGGCAGCCTGCACCCTAAACCTATCATCCCCGGCCCCACCCCAGAGCCCACACCTCCTGCACTGTAACCTTCTTTCTGCTCGGCAGTGTTTGCTCAGGGCTGGGGAAGGACAGTTTGACTAGATTACTGTTTTTTAAGAATGAGAATAAAGCTTGACAATTTAAGACGGCAGTCAGATAGTTCAAAGACTGGGAGTTATTAAATTCCAAGTTCTTAATAATCTAGGTAAAGAAATCTTGAAGGTCTGATGTTTATACCAATAGGACCCCTTTTCTGTGTACTTTTGCCGGTTGGTAAGAGTGTAATATTGAATGCAAATTTACAGATTAGCAAAGCTTTAATTCTACCAATAATTACGAAAGCATAAAAATGGACAAACGCTTTCTTACTTAAGATCCCCTCTACTGCATCATGCTGAACCAGCTTCAAACTGGAGATTCTTATATTCGCCCCTGTACAGTCAAAAAAGTGGTCTCCTTTGCCCCTCTTTTCTATCACAACATCATCTGGCAGGCCATACCCTGAAAGGAAGGGAAAAAAATCTTAGTGTTACTGTGATTCACGGGTGGACACAGATGCTCAGTGCACATCACAAGATATCAAAGTTAGAGTTAAAGGACTGTAACTTGAGTTCTGTCATACGAGCAGGTTTACGTTTTCCACACATCACTCAGACCACCACAGTACTCCCTGCTACATCAGAAGGTTGGTCTCCCAAATGGCTGCTTCACTCAAACTACTACTGCCTCACTGCAAAGGTTTTGAGGCGGAGGGCTACACAAAAACAACAAATTTTATCCATTGCACTACTGACTTTGGAATTTAAATGAGGTGGGTCAAAACCCTTGACTGCTGCAGTTTCCAGGAGAATTCTACTAAAACCAAACTTTAAAGCAGATGACAATACTGATTCACTAAACCATCCACTGATGTATCAGCATGTAAAGCCTTTATTACTTGTATAGTAAAAATATAAAGCATAGTGAAAGAGTTTGCACTAAATTTTAAACAAGTCAGATATAAACTAATTAGGTCTCAGCACCTCAGAGGGTAGATGAGAAATATAGTATCACTTTCCCCACCACTGATGTACAGACCCTTCTGAGATGCCAGCTGATTCACAGTGCATGGCAAGAATACACAATTTGGGACAGGAAATGAATACTGTATCCAGCTGAAACATACAACACTACAGAAACTGAAAGGAGAATTATTACCCAAATGCAAGGATATCATGGTTAACATGCCTAGAAGTGGCCTAGAGATCTCTAATGACCAGTCAGGGCCTGCCCCTAAAAAAGCATGTCTAACAGCAAGAAAAGGCTTGGGTAGAAGGTGGGACTGAAGAGGGAAACCTTTCCCCATTCCTCCTACTCCATGACATTTGTACAGAGAGTCTCAAGGGTCTCCTCTCTCCATGGGATCTAGGGAGCGCATAATTATTTCTAACTTAAAAAAAAAAAAAAGAAAGTTCCAACATATTGTTAAGCTGAAAGGACTTTCTCCTTAAGGGTTTTAAGAAATTCCCATGTCAGCTGTGGACATTTTAAGTTTGGAAAACCCACTGTACAATCGATCACCTATCTGCCATCCCCACCATGTTCCATTGATCACCTTTCCCTGTAGGACTTTAAGACATCTGCACTCTGTAGAAGTAGTAGTCTGAAATTTGGAGAAAACACTAAGCTGGGATACACTTGTACATGTGTCGCCACCCAAATATATTTTGTCACTACACTAACCTTTGCCCTTTTCATGTATATCGGTATTTACAGATACTTGGATAACTGGCAGCATGTGTCGCCTTAATGAGGAATAGGAAATCATAGAACTGTAGGGCTAGAAGGACCTCGAGAAGTCATCAAGTATCACCCCTTGTGCAGAGGCAGAACCATCCATGACATGTTTGTCCAATCTTTTCTTAAACACCATCAATAACAGGGATTATACAACATCCCCTTGGAAGCCTATTCCAGAATTTAACTATCCTTATAGTTAGAAAGTTTTTCCTAATATCTAAACTAAATCCCCTATGTTGCAGATTAAAGCAATTACTTCTTGTCCTATCTTCAACTGACCGCCATACCTTTTCCATTAGTTATCCCCACCCCCCATCTTCTTTTCTCAAGTTTAAATATGCCCAGGTTTTTAACCTTTCCTCATAAGTCAGGTTTTCTAAACCTTTTCTCATTTTTTTTGTTCTCCCCTGGTCTCTCCCACAGCTTTCCCAGAGGGTGGCACACAAAACTCCAACTCAGGCCTCAACAGTGCCAAGTAGAATGGGACAATCACCTACCATGTCTTACTTATGGTACTCCTCTTAATGCACCTAAAAATATTAGCCTTTTTCACAGCATCACCACATTGCTAACTCCTATTCAATTAGTGATCCCTTCTAACTCCCAGGTCCTTCTCAGCAGTACTACCACCTAGCCAGTTAGTTCTCATTTTGTAGTTGTACATTTGATTTTTCATTCCTAAGTGAAGTACTTTGCACTTGTTTTTACTGAATTTCATCTTGTTGAATTCAGACCAGTTTTCCAATTTGTCAAGGTCATTTTGAGGTCTAATTCTGCCATGCAAAGTGCTTCCAACCCCTCCCAGTTTGGTGTCTTCCGCAAAGCCGACTCTCCACTCCATTATCCAAGTCCTTAATTAAAATATTGACTAGCATCAGCACCAGGACAGACCCCTGCTGGGCCCCACTAGATACACCTACACAGTTTGATAGCAAACCATTGATAACTACTCTTTGAATGCTGTCTTTCAACCAATTTTGCACCACCTTATAGTAATTTCATCTAGACCACATTTCCCTAGTATGCTTATGAGAATCAAAGGTTGGACTGTCAAAAGCCTTACTAAAATTAAGATATAATCTAAGATATCTACAGCTTCCATCCTATCCAGGAGGCCAGTAATCCTGTCAAAGAAGGAAATTAGGGTGGCTTGGCCTGATTTTTTCTTGACAAATTCATGCTGGCTACTCCTAGGTGCTCATAAACTGATTGTCTAATATTTTATCCCAGTATCTTTCCCAAGTTCGAGTGACTGGTCTATAATACCCTGGGTCTTCATTCCTCTTTTTAAATATTTGCTCTTCTCCAGTCCTCTGGAACCTCACCCATCCTCCATGAATTATCGAAGATAATTGCAAAAAGAAAAGGAGTACTTGTGGCACCTTAGCTTCAGCTAATTCCTTAAGCACCCTATGATGAATTTCATCAGGCCATGCCAACTTAAATACATTGAATTTATCTAAATATGATTTAACCGGCTCTTCCCCTATTTCCCTCCTTCCCCCTTGTTGTTAATATTAATTTATCACCTTTAACCTTTTCAGTGAAGTCTGAAGTAAAATAGGCATGAAACACCTCAGCTGTCTCAATGCCAATTATTTGCTCTCCTTCCTTGTTAATTAGGGGACCTAACGCTTTCCTTCATCTTCTCATTCCTAATCTATTTATAGAACCTCTTTTCTTATTGCCTTTTATTTGCCTTGCTAGCTGTAGCTCATTTTGTGCCTCAGCCGTTCTGATTTGTCCCCACAGGCTTGTGCTATTCTTTTGTACTCCTCCTTGGCAATTCATCCATGTTTCCACTGTTTATAGGATTGCTTTTTGATTTGCAGGTCATTAGAGAGCTCCTAATGGAGCTAATTGGCCGCTTCCTATTCTGCTACTCTTCTGATGGCATTCAGTATGCTGTTTGTTTAGTCAGGATTCTGTAAAGTATGTCTGCCTATGGACTGTGTTTGATTGTACAACAGCTGGAGTTATTCAACCACTGTACAATGAAGAATTAAATATTTAATATCTCTGATGGAATGAAGATTATGGAAGGGTAAAGTTGTCTTGGTTTGGTTTTTCCCCTGAGACTATCATTGCAAAGGCAAACTTATCTGGGTGCTCGAACTGCGAACTTAATCACAAGTGCTAGGGTTTCTTCTAAATTTAGTCTAAACTCAATTCCCTAGTGCTTACTTTACTGATAACTATACATTCTTAAAAGTTTTTATTTACTTCACTCTTATTGTGTCTTCGAATAAATAAAGGAAGGCACCAATACAATTGAGTCATGTTATTCCTTCGACAAATTTTCCCAGCCCCTCGTGCCAAGAAAGCACCAAAACAGTATTAACTACACAGATTAGAGCCAGTGAGATTTTACTTGATGCTCCTGTTTAGGATATTTTCAGCAACACCTACTGCTAAACTTTCCCCCAATACAAGCCCATATACAGAGATTAGTCATCCTGACACTTGCTCATTAAGGGAGTAGTCCCTATTAAAATAAACTTACTTATATGCTTTGTTCCATAAAGCAGAATGGCTATTTCTAGTCTATGACTTATAGTCCGGCTGCTTCACCCCTTGTATGACCATTTTCTCAAAGACAGGACAACAACATCTGTCATAAATACCACCCACCAGAATTTCAGAATACTATCCTCACTGATAAATCAAGCAATTTATGGAAGCCCTTAATCCTGCAGATGTATTGCATATGGGCACGTATATCGATATAAATCAAACATATACAAGAGAGAAAGAAAATTATAGTCATAAAACAAAAAGGCAAGAAAATATAGTAGGGAACAGCAGGAAATTAAACTCCCAGACTTTTTTCTATTAACAAGGTTTGACAAGATAAAGATAAACAATGCAGCTTAAGCAGGTTCTGAGCAGCCCACAATGATGCATAGGTTATTCTATAAAACTGTATTCCTACAGTTATTTGGTAAACTGTTAACAGGTGTAAATACCTATAGCTCAGGCATTACTAGGAGAGATACAAGGATGCAGTATATCCTAGACAAGGCAGGAGCATTTAATTTTAAAGCCATTCTCAAAAGCACAGAAAGATTTGTTGACAAGATACCATAAACGTGTATACATTGCCTATTTGGTTCTGCAAAATAAACAGAGATCTGAACCTATAGCCAGTGACCTCCTTCTCTATATGGTATAGCATCACCATTCACACTGCTAATTTGTGCACTACACTTCCCAACAAATATTTGAATGCAACAAGCTATTAGGCCTTGACTTGTCCCTTACTTCAGTAAGGTTACACACAACCTGTGCTGTACAAACAATCTTCAGAAGAATACCCTTCTCAAGTAGACTAATAACCCCTATTTTATAGACGGGGAAAATGAAGCACAGAAGTGAAATGGTTTGCCAAAGGGCACACAACTGGCAGAGACAAGAATAGAATTCAGGTCTTCGTAGCCACCAGCCTAGTCCACTAGACCGAATTTCCACTTATTGACAAAAGCTATAAATATAAAATGCAGAATATATAGCATATGATCAAGGATCATACTATGTTAAATCACATGAACCAAGTACATTTTGCAGTGCTTCCTCCTGGCAATGAAGAAGGAAAACTAGCTTCCTTGATGATTCACAAAATTCAACTAATGCTCAGTGAGTCTTCCTGGTCAGCGTAATTAAGTGAGGTTCTACTGTACAGAAAACAAAAAACCAAAGGCATAGGTCTACTGTATACTCTTTATATTTGAGAGCCAATGCTCTGCAGCTTAAATACAGACGTTACCTCAAGTGACCTTTGTGCTCATTAAATTAAGTCAATCCTTCCTTATATACTCCTGCCAGAGTCTGTCCGCTAGCTAAACATTCAGTCAGTTACTGAATGATTTCATCCAAATAAATAGCATGAGAACACACTAAATTGGGGATAAATGTATTCTTCCGAAGTCCTGTCGTGGCCCATTTGCTGCTGTAGCACACACATCCTCCATGGGCAGAGACAGCATACATACCACTCAGTATGTTTGAAGCCGACTCCTGGCTCTAGCAGCAGGGCCTCTGAAGGAATGTCAAGGCATTTAAGAAAAAAGAAAAGTTAAACTCCCAGGCAACAGATCCCTCCTGAAGTTAAGTCCCTTTGCACACTTCAGTTTACTTTAAGAAAATGGACCAGTTAACATTAGTTTCAGGCTCTTCCACGCTTACAAGAACCTTCTACCTTATCTTAAATCTTAACTGAATCAAATTGTACCAGAGAATCTCTATGGATAGAAATTCCATGCTTGCACAATAGCAGCACAGAAGTGGAAATATATTATCAACCCCCTGACGAGGATGATTACTGTGATTGTGAAATACTCAGCGAGATTAGAGAGGCTACAAAGGCAGAAAACGCAATAATGGGGACTTCAGCTATCCTCATATTGACTGGATACATATCACCTCAGGAAGGGATGCAAAGATAGACACCATAAATGATTGCTTCTTGGAGCAGCTTGTACTGATACCCACAAGGGAAGGACAATTCTTGATCTAGTCCTAAGTGGAGCACAGGATCTGATCCAAGAGGTGAATATAGCTGAACTACTTGGCAACAGCAACTAAAATAGAGTTTAATTTAACACTTCGGGCTGGGGTGGGGAGGGTGGAATACTGAAGAAACCTACCGCCTTAGCATTTAACTTTGAAAAGGGGAACTGCACAAAAAAGAAGCTAGTTAAACAGAAATTAAAAGGAAAAATCACAAAGGTGAAATGCCTGCAAAATGCAGAGTCTATTTTAAATAGTCTAGTTTAGAGAGGCCCAAACTAAATGTATACCTCAAATTTAAGGGGAAAAAAAAGTAATAGAATGCAATAAATGCCATAATGGCTAAACAGCAGAGTAAAAGAGGTAGTTAGAAGCAAAAAGGCATTCTTTAAAAATTGGAAGTCAAATCCTAGCAAGAAAAATAGAAAGGAGCATAAACTCTGGCAACTGTAAATGTTTATGGTAGGCCAATAAAGCATCTGAACAGCAACTAACTAAAGATAAGAACAACAGCAAAAAAAATTAAGTACATCTGAAGCAATAAGTCTACCAAACAGTGGAGCCACTGAACAATCAAGGTACTAAAAAAGCATTCATGGAAGACAAGGCCGTTGCAGAGAAACTAAATGAATTATTTGCATCAGTCTTCACTGCACAACAGATGTGGGGGAGATCCCCACACGCAAGCTATTCTTTTTATGTGACAAATCTGAGGAACCATCCCAGACTGAGGTGTAGAGGATGGTTTGGAACAAATTGATGGATTCAACAGCATGAAGTCACCAGGACCAGATGGTGTTCACCCAAGAGTTCTGAAGGAACTCAAATATGAAACTGCAGAACAACTAACTGTGGTATGTAACCCATCGCTTAAATCAGCCTCTGTACGAGAACGGTAGCTAATGTAATTCCAATTTTTAAAAAAGGCTGCAGAAGCAATCCTGGCGATTACAGGACAGCGAGCCTAACTTCAGTACCAGGCAAATTGTCTGAAACTATAGTTAACAGAACAGACAAAAACACGATAGATGTTGGGGAAGAGTCAACATGGGAAATCATGCCTTGCCAATCTACTAGAATTTTTTGAAGGTGTCAAGAAGCATGTGAACAAGGGTGATCTCGTGTACTTGGACTTTCAGAAAGCCTTTGACAAGGTCCCTCACCAAAGGCTCCTGAGCAAAGTAAGGAGTCATGGGATAAGAGGGAAGATCTTCTCATGGATCAGTAACTGGTTACAAGATAGGGAACAAAGGATAGGAATAAATTATCAGTTTTCACAATGGAGAGAGAGGTAAATAGCAGGGTCCCTCAAGGTGACAAAAATAGTAAGGTAACAAAATTTTGCAGAGGATGCCAAGTTACTCAAGACAGTTAAGTCCCAAGCAGACAGCAAAGAGTTACAAAGGGATCTCACTAAACTGGGTGACAGGGCAACAAAATGGCAGTTGAAATTCAATTTTGATAAGTGCAAATTAATGCACATTGGAAAAAATAATCACAGCTCTACACACAAAATGATAGTGTCTGAATTAGCTGTTACCATTCAAGAAAAGATCTTGGAGACACTACAGAAAGTTCTTTGAAACCATTTGCTCAATATATGGCAGCAGTCAACAAAGCTAACAGAACGTTAGGAACTATTAGGAAAGGAAGATATAAAACAGAAAATATCAAACATCTGTGGTATGCCCACACCTTGAATACTGTGTGCAATTCTGGTCACCCCAATCTCAAAAATATATATATATATTAGAATTGGAAAAGATGCAGAGAAGAGCAACAAAAATGATTAAAGGTATGGAACAGCTTTCATATGAGAAGAGATTAAAAAATAAGGATTCTTCAGCTCAGATGAGAGACAACAAAGGGGGGAGGGACGGGACTTAGAAGTCTATAAAATCATGAATGATATAGAGAAAGCGAATAGGGAATAGTTATTTACCCCTTCACATAACACAAGAACTAGTGTCACCCTATGAAGTTAACAGGCAGCAGGTTTAAAACAAACGAAAGCAGGTGGATATAAATCAATACTTTCTTTTTAAATCTAAAATATCAGATTTTTTTTATTTAAATTTGATTTTATTTAAATTATAAGTTTTTTCTTTAAAAAAATAGCCGTTTAAAAGGAAATTTGAATTTACTACACAATACGTTAATCAAAATTATAATTTCTTGAAACATTTAAATAAAAAATAAATGAGATGAATACATGAGCCTCTAATAAAAAAACTGAGTTAAAGGCTGCTTTTCTAAATACAGAAAGAATAGAGGGCAAACATCTAACTTCTGAGTTCAAGCTTTATAAATATGACAATACATCATGTACTACATTAAGGGCTTGTTTTGCTTAATAAAAAATAAATGTTATATGCTATTTTGTGTGTTTAATTTAATTCCAGTTACCATCCTATTGCAGTTGACACAAATCATGAACAAAAAGTTAATTACCTAATAAATAAGCAATATCATTCACCATTCAACCTAGTAAAAATGTACAATTACTAAGAATCTGAAAATATTAAGCTATACCATTGTTCAAATCAATGTAAATAGTTATAGTGTACCACCCTAGGTAGCAAAGATGTACCAAATCTAGTGTAAAGGCTCTAATTAGCTGTAAATCAATGTTTATATTAACCAATAAGAATACACCTGTCTTTAGAAAGTAACTGAAGTACAAATGGAAAAGTTGATTAAAATCAATTATTTAAATCGAGGCTTTCCACTTTGATTTAAATCGCTGATTTAAATCAATCCACCCTGAAAGAAAATACTACTTCGCACAATGCGTGATCAACATGTGGAACTCGTTGCTATGGGTTGTTGAGAAGGCCAAAAGTGTTACTGAATTAGATATGTTTATGGAGGACGTCCACCAATTGCTATTAGCCAAGATGTTCAGGGATGCATTGCCATGATCCAGGTGTCCCTAAACTAGAGCCCTGCAGCGGGACTGGGGTCCTGCAGGACCCACTGCCATAATAGCGGGACCAGGTAAAATGCACTATGTTGTGGGTGGAATTGGATGGGCAAAAAAAACCAGACTGCTGTAATTTGTAGGAAAACACTTTTTTTAAATAAAAGTTTAAATACTTCAATTTAAGCGAGGGATAGCAAGATTTAATGTCTATTATAACAGGAGTTAAAGTATTTTTTTACGTGGTGTAAGGTACACTTTGTTAACCAGCCTTATTTTTTTTTTTTTTTAAATAGTCTGGGGGGAATCTGTCTCCCCTGCAGGACCTAAGTGTTTGTGGGTGGGAGGTGGTATTGTGCAAGAAACAATGTGGGAATGGGTGGGAGTGGGTATTGTGGTGCGGAACCGGAGTGAGATTAAAGAACTAGTTCTGCACAGTGTTCTACCCTAAACCTCCAACTGCCAGAAGCTAGGACTGGACTCACTCAAAGTTGTCCTACTCTGTTCATTCCCTTTGAAGCACCAGGCACGGACCATTGTCAGAAGATTGGGTATTGGGCGAGATGGACCACTGGTCTGACCCCATCTAACTGTTCTTATGTACCTTCTAGTTCAATTGAGTCAGCAATGCAGAACATGCCATCTACAATGTAACGGCCAGGACAGATGATGACAGTGTCTCCTTCATAGCAGGCACTGACAGCTGTCAGTGGATCACTGTGGAACTGTAAAGGAGAGATAAACAATCAGCTTCAGAAAATGTAAGAGAATGGCTTGAGTTTATGCCAACAGAATTCCCTTTTAATTTGAATGTTGCTACTTAGTCAAAATGCTACCGTTTCTGCTTAAAGGAAACCCATTTTAGTGGCATCTATAGAATACAATTAATACTTTGTGTTCATATCGTGCTTTGCATGCAAGGATCTCCATGTACTTTTAAGAACAGTGAATCAGCCTTAAGACATGCCTGAAAGAAGCATAATTCCATGTACAAATGGGAAACTGAAGCAGGTAAAGATTAGTGCCATGTTTTAAAGAGCCTAAATGCGAACCGCAATTTGCCTGTAAATGCAGTGTTGGAAGTTCTGCCTTAAGTGATTTACCCTAGGTCAGTGGTTTCTCAAGCAGAGGGAGGTGTACACCTGGGGATACTCAGAGGTCTTCCAGGAGGTACATCAATTCATCTAGATATTTGCCTACTTTTACAACAGGCTACATAAAAAGCCCTAGCAAAGTCAGTACAAACTAAAATTTCATACAATGACTTGTTGATACTGCTATATATACACACATATACGTACATACATACACACAATAGTTATATTTCAATTCATTTATTTTAGAATTATATGGTAAAAATGAGGAAGTAAGCAATTTTTCAGTGACAGTGTGCTACTATGCTTACAAAATCAGATAAAATTACAAAAGTAAGCAGTTTTTAAGTGAAGTGAAACTTGGGGGTACACAAGACAAATCAGACTCTTGAAAGGGGTAGTGTTGTCTGGAAAGGCTGAGAGCCACTGCCCTAGGTCACAAAGGAAATATGAGGCAGAGGCAGTAACAGCCAAGGGGACTAGGTGGGAGCTAGTCTAGACACTGAACGATCTTCTCACTCTTGGAGCTGATCTCTCCAAAAAAAGAATTAATGGACACTGCTGTTGCAGTGTGGGATGTGCCTGGCAGACATTTTGGGTTAGTCAGTCTCCTAAGTGGGCAGGCTGGCACCTATCACAAGCATGACAACAGGATTCTACTCTGAACTGTGACTGAAAATGGCATAATGGAGTTCCACATTTATTGCCTCAGTGACTTCCAGATTAAGCATGCTCAATTTACAAGTATTAAGATCCTCTTCCAACTGCTCGCCCTGCACACTCAACTCCTGCCCTCTCACTGACTATTTATCAGTAGAATCAGACCTGCTCAAAATTTAAAAGAAATACCTTTAAAAAGCGTGCACTCAGGTACGTTAAAACTCAAAGTAAATATCATGCCTTACTCAGAATACTTCATTATGAAATTGTTACAGGAATGCAGGGTAGTTTCCCCTATTTCTCACACAGAGGAAAGTGCTTGTAAAGGAGTATTTACCAGATACAAGTTAGTTAGATAAATTCACTGTTTCTTCCATTCTTATTACTCGCTATTTATATTACAGTTGGGATTAAGGTTCCCTCATGGTAGGCTCTGTATGTACAGAAGTGAATATTGTGAAAGAAGAAATTAATCTATTGGGGAAGATAGAAAATGGAGGACAGAGAATGAAAACAACTACTATTTTACCTGTATTTCTAGTTCTTCATCACAGGTCTCAGAACAAAGCTTTTCCCTGAGCAGAGACTGCAACAGACTTGCCATCATAGTAGAAGATACAACATGAGTGATCTTCGTACCCGTTGGACGGGAGCCTTTGGCTTGGAGACCAGCGTGCTTCTGGTAACCAAATACATATCTGAAACATGAGCAATAAACCATCAGATCTGTCCTAATGGAGAGCATTTCCTAGCTGGTTTCTTCTTTCTCTCTCACACACACACACACAGTACCTCAAGAGAGGATTCTCAATGAGCTTTAGCTTTTGCTTCAGATGCTCTATCTCATCATACAGCTTTAAGCCTTCCACCATGGAGACATTTTCTGCCTCGGAGTCAGAGTCACTGCTTGATATGCCACTCCTCAGGTTTAAGAACTTCCTGTAGAGCACCTCACATTGAGACAGCAGATTGCGATAATCAGCAATGAGTCCAGAAGGGACACGATCCTCAAGTATGTCATAATGCCTACAATTCAAAGTGTAGAAAAGTTAGTGTTCCTCACTTTCCTGAAGCAGAGAGAACCTGATCCAAAGCCCATTTTAATCCATGGGAATCTTTCCACTGACTTAAGTGGGCTTTGAGTCAGAAGTGCTGAGCTCCCTGCATCTGACACCCCACTTCAAAGGGGCATGGCTGACAAAAAAAAAAAACACATTTGTCTAAATATGTCAACCCCCGTTGTTACAATGCACACCCACGATTATTAGAGTTGAAAGAGTACACACAGAAAAAGGGAGAGAAATATTTTTTTAAAAATACAAAAAGATATACTTTTAAAAACCACAGGAATTACCAGGAGGCTTCAGAGGCACGTACATTACCAAGAACTATTTTTAAGTCACTACTTAAACACTGACTAGATGGTGCCCTTTCAAATGTGGGCTTTGAAATAGCAAAAGCAGAAGTTTGTTGAGCAAGAGAAAAAACACAACTCAGAGAAAGCGAGAGACAACAATTAGAACTGGATGATAGCAGTGAAAGAGCAGATGTACTATAAGATCAAATGTACCATCAAGGAGTCTCTCACACAAGAGACGGAAACGCTCCTGCGAAGTGGCTCTGCTGAAGACAGACAGAGTCACATCTTCCAGATAGAATATGGCTTGCTGAAAATTCCAAAGCAGTGGTGCTACAGTGATCACTCCAGAAAAAGATCAAACAATGAAAAGATACTTGAAAGCAAAAAGAAGAATCCTTCGTCATCTTCAGTACAATTGGAGGGGAAGCAAGTCAACCCCGTGTAATAACTCCATGCGCAGTCACTGAGGGGTCTTACTGGGAAGAAGAAAACATCCAAGGAAACTGAGGGCCAAGACAATTGCCAAGTTTCAATCACTCAGATGTTCACTAGAGGGCACTCAAAAACGTGCCATAAAGAACAAAAAGCTGGAGGCAGAACAAATATCCACGTGACTGTAACAGACAGACAGTAAAGTGGTACAAAAACCTCATAGCTAAAACAACTGTGCGGTGATAGTGTTATAAGATGCAGCATGCCTGGCGACAACACATGAATATACTTCAGAGTAGGTGAGGAACTAAAGGTAGCTGATTTTTTAATGTAATATAGAGAGGTACAATACTTGAAGAAAACAATGGAAACTGTACATAAGTTAACCCTAAAATGTGCATGCTCAATTTTAAGACTGAGCACTCTGGAGAACCTACAGTAGAACCTACAAACACCAAATTTACGAACTGACCAATCAACCACACACCTCATTGGGACCCGGAAGTATGCAATCAGGCAGCAGAGACCAAAAAAAGGAAAATACAGTACGATACTGTGTTAAACGTAAACTACTAAAAAAATAAAGGGAAAGTTAAAAAAGATTTGACGAGGTAAGGAAACTGTTTCTGTGCTTGTTTCATTTAAATTAAGATGGTTAAAAGCAGCATTTTTCTTCTGCATAGTAAAGTTTCAAAGCTGTATTAAGTCAATGTTCAGCTGTAAACTTTTGAAAGAACTTAACACCGTTATGAACATTTCAGAGTTACGAACAACCTCAAATCCTGAGGTGTTTGTAACTGAGGTTTTGCTGTAAAACTAAATGTTTACCAACCTTCAATAAAATACTTTACATTGAATTATTTAGCTGTTTCACAAGACCAGAACTTATATTTATAAAGTAAATAAAATCATTGATAAAGTTTGCAGTGCGAGGACTGTCTGCTTTAATTTAAACTCATAGGAGACCTTCTGAATAAGAATGTAAAACATTGCTTGTCTGCATGGATAGAAGGCTATGTTACCGCTATTTATCAGTTGACACACCAGTGCTTATATCAGAGCAGAAGAGCATATTAACTTCAATGTGGCTTAGAGTACAGGCTTGCTTCAAGCATAGTGTTGGGAATGAGAAAGGAAAATATTTACTCTTCATTGCAATACAAAACTGAAGCATTACGGTTCCCTTTTGGTTCCTCTCTAAAAATGCTTCTACTCCCATTTCAGCCCATTAGCTACCTTTAAAAAAAGTCTGATTGAATGGGATTAGATTCCTGTTTCATTAGATGCAAAGTATTTTTCCTCCAAGGAAAAAAAGCAACTCCTTCCTTCTGCCTCCCCATCTGCTGGCAATGTAGAAGCAGAAACACATAAGAAGTACTTCCATGTAACATTTCCAGACCTCAAAACATTTCCTCCCAGTTTTGTATGAGCTCAACATGGCCCAGGTATAACATGAAACTGAACTGTCATAATGAACTCCATTTCAAAGACTCACCACTTCAGAGTCATCTTCATAACAAAACCAGATTGGCATGCAATATGCATTCCTGAATTCCTATTCTAAATAATTATATGCAGAAAAGAATGGATTGAGGAAAACAGGCATGAAAATAATGGACTGACATATCGTCAAATATGAGGAAAAAGCCCTAGAGAATTGGTAAAGCTACTTTCCAGTGATTCATTTCAGGTATTTAAAAATGAGTTTCTAGTATATTTCCAGAACGTGCCCTTGTGTGCTGTTGAAGTTCCATATGGCTGGATAGTATTAAAAAACCACATTCAGAAAAACTTAATACAACGTAATCCTACTGGGGAAAGGATAAACATGCCTCCTTCAGCATCACTAGGTTTTTCTTTTAAGTTTTCCTCTATATTCTGTTCCATTTGGGTTCTTATTCCACACCGAGAGGTCTCTGAGCAACACACACTCATCTTAATTAGGATTACATTTCACACTTGAAGTCAAACTAGTCTTATGTTTGAAAGAGGCTATACCTGGTTTTGGAACGCCATCTAATGGAAGGAAGAGGGTTGTGCCAAAAAAAAAAAAAAAAAAGGCTAAGAAGAAAATAACCGGCAATGAAGTTGTAGGTTTCCCCTAGATCTCTTTCCAAATAAAAGATTTCTAGCAACTGATAGTAATCTGAAGCTGCAACAGCCTTGCTTTGCAAAGAGTTTTGCATGAATTTTGTTTTGTCAGTCACTACTCCAAAGCTTTCCCTTTCAGCCTTCTTTAAACTAAATGTTAAAGAAAGTCACTTACAGTCTCAGTCGAGGTTCAACACATCTGACAAAATAATCAAAGTCATCCTCATCCTCTTCATCCCAACTCCTCCAGATGTGCTGGTAGAAAAACCTTTTGAAATAAAGCAAGTAGTTAAGAGTGCGCTGTCCATCGATGAGCCCAGTCACCAAAAGTTAGGACTGAAAATAAAAATGCAATAAATTGAGGAAGACATCTCAAAATATTACACCTCTCTAATTCCCATATCACCCTCCTCCAAGCTATTCAGTACACAGAATTTCTTGATATTCCTTGTCTGCTGTAAACCCTATGGGTAAAGTTTTCAAAAATGCCCAGAATGACTTAAGAGCATAAGTCCCATTCATTTTGACTAAAGTTATGCTAAGCACCTTTTTGAAAATGGGATTTATATTGCTATTGACTTAGGCATTTTTGAAAATTTTGCTATGTGTCACTCCAATTCAAATTCTTCCACTGCCTCCTCTCACCTTCCACATTAAGTTTAGCATCCTCACCCTTCAAATGCTCCTTCTGGGCTTTGAGTTGATCAAACATCTATTAGCCATTACAAAAGCAGGATCCAGGAGCAGCATCCAGGGTCTTGCCTTCTCACTGGGACACTGTCCTGGAGAGTGGGGCCCCTCACCTTCGTTTTAGTCTTCAAGTTCAGTCCTTGTGGCTGTTACTAATCAATTTCTCTAAACCCTATGAAGTGTGTGCGTGCGTATTGGGGGGCGAAAGAAAAAAAAGGAAAAAAGATCTTAAAGGAAGAGCTAGAAAATAAGTAGGGAATGTAGATCAGGGACGCATTGGAGAAACAGCAAATAAGGGAGATATAGTGTGCACACGGTAGGGAGAGAAAAGAAAGAAACTGAAAACATTGCAGGGAAAGATACACCACAGTGAATTATAGGGGAAAGGCAGAAAAAGTGCAGTGAAGGGAGGAGGTGAGAAGGTCTAGTAAAAGCAAGGAACAGAGCGAGTTACATCTTTTAAACTTAGTAGAAAATTATTTGGTAATGAGCTACAATGAAACCCAGCATGCACGTTTGATTCCTTGTGACATAGCAACACTGGTGTTTTTCTTCTGGTCCTTCAGGTTAGTTCTTGGGCTAGCCTCAGTAGGAATAGAAATAACTAGAAGGCTACACTGAACTCCCGCTGACTCTCTTATTACACGCTGTAACAATCAATATATAAAGGTAATTAAAACCAAGAATGCTGATCTTAACAGGATGCTTTGTTCCATCAGGTTTACTTTTAAAACCCGGGTCAACATAGCCCCAGGAATGGTCTCAAGAATTCACAAAGATGGGAGTATACCAAAAGCTCTTTCTGAATGGACACTAACAACATCTTTTAGTGTAGGTGCATGTATGAAACCCATGCACATTATTTATTGTAGCTCAGATGTGATGCCTAAACTATCTGACTCTTTTAAAATTAAAGAAATAATAGTTCAGGAGACAATTAGCCATTTATGAACATTTTCCTACCTGACATGCTCTATGGCCAGGGCTGTCTGGTCAAACTCTCCTGATTCATCAAACACAACCCACAGCTCCTGCACTGGTAACTGATGCTTCTTCAGCTCCAAGAGCTCTTGCATGCACTCCAAGGTAAAGGTGCTAACATGGGAGTCACACAAGAAAGGCTCACTGAGCCGAACCACTGCTTTCAGAGCGGAGTACTCCACATCCACAACCTGATATGAATAACACAGCTATTAGGGTGGCTTTAGACAGAACAGTACATACAACCAGAAAAGCCAAAACACACACACACACACACTCACTCTTATTATAGAAGCCAATCAGCAACTTTATTAAAGCATGAAGTTTTTTTAAACACTACATATGGCATTTTATTCCAGAAATGTCTGCGCATGTATATTTGAAATTATAACCCCAAAACAAGCTTCATTGCTCAGCAAATACATATATATACAATCATCGCTTTCCATCTTCAAAGGACTGTACAAACACTGAGCCTCAATGTCCCTTGGAGGACAGGAAGTTACTATCTTCTTTTTACAAGGGCAAGGGTTAAGGACCCGATTTTTGGATATGCCAAGTATCTGGCAGCTCCCATTGACTTCACTTGGAGCTGAGGGTGCTCTGAAAAAAAAAATCAGGACCCAAGTGCCTTGCAGCAGCCCACAGTGGCAGAGCCAGGAATAGCAAGAATTCCTGTGCACTAATCCCATATTTAGCCCAGTAGGCTGCCATGCCCTTTGGCTGGAAAGTGTTTCAACGAGGACCAAATGTGGTATGGGGAATCCTAAAGCATGTCAATCCTTTCCCTCTAATATAGGGAGGGCAAAGCTGATCAAATGCAGGCCTATGTTGCTGGAAAACACGAACAACTTCTGCTTCTCTAGAAAGACAAACACCAACATGTTTACATGCTTCTACTTATTTTAAGATTGCAGTTTCCTTGCAGGCGTTGTAAGTATGGGATGGGAATAGCATTTCCCTTTTTTAAATGAGAGTTAAAAGTTGAAAATCAGATTCATGTAGAAGGTTCACACAAAGGCAATGTGGCGCTGACAGGCATTATGAGTCCTGCAGACTTTAGCATGGCCATAAGCAGCAGAAGTGCACACAATGAGGAATTATACCTGGCCGAGACAGGGGGAATAGAGAGGGAGGATTTTATTAATGAAAACCTTAATACATAGAAAACTGGTGTAGGTTTTACATTCAGATAACAAGGCTGAATTTCTACATCCTGCTCTAGGCTTGCCTCCCTCTGTCCCAGCTTCCATTCCTCTCTGTGCTCACAGTCCCCTACACCTCCATCATAGAATCACAGACAGGCTGGGCTGGAAGGGGCCTCGAGAGGTCACCAAGTCCATGCCCCTGTGCTGAGGCAGGACAAACAATATGAGGACCACGTCTGACAGGTTTTTCTAACCTGTTCTTAAAAACCTCCAATTTCCCCATTCCAGTTCTTAACTATTCTTATAGCTAGGAAGTTTTTCCTAGTAGCTAACCTGAATCTCCCTTCTGCAAGTCAAGCAGATTACTTTCTGTCCTATCCTCAGTGGACACAGAACAAATGATCACTGTCCTCTTTATAACAACTTTCTACAGACTTATGCCCCCCTGCTCAGCCCTCTCTTCTGTAGACTAAACATGTCCAGTGCTTTCATTCTTTCCTCACAGGTCACATTTTCCAAACCTCTCCTCTGGACTCTCCAGTTTTGTCCACATCTTTAATAAAGTGTAGTGTCCAAAACTGGACAGAGGATGTCTTAGGTCATTTCAACACTGCAGGCGTTATAGCAGCATAGTTACAGCATCATAGCTCTGCCACTGTCACCTTGTAGTATAAACAGACTATAGTGACAGAAGTGTGTGTGTCATAGTAGGAACTCCACCTTCCGGAGCAAGGAGAGCTAGGTCGACAGAAGCATTCTTCCATCGACTTAACTGCATCCACACCAGGGGTTAGGTCGGTATAGCTATGGCACTCGGGGGTGCAGATTTTTCACAGCCCTGAGCGCTACAGCTGTCGATGTAAGTTTTAAGCATAGATCAGGTCTTACAGATGACACTTGTTAATATACCACAGAATGACACTTGCCTTTTTTGCCACAGCATCTTACTGTTGACCCATTCAACTTGTGATCCACTGTAACCTCCAGATACTTTTCTGCAGTACTGCTGCCTAGCCAGTTTTCTCCCCATTTTGTAGCTGTGTATTTGATTTTTCTTCTTTGGTGTAGTACTTTGCACTTATCTTTATTAAAATCATCTGGTTGATTTCAGACCAATTCTACAATGTATCAAGATTATTCTGAATTCTAATCCTGTACTCCAACGTGCTTTCAAACCCTCCCAACATTGTCTCATCTGCAAATTTTATAAGAGTAATCTGTACTCCATCATTCAAGTCATTAATGAAAACATTGAACAATACCAGACCCAAGACACATCCCTGCAAATCTTGATAAGTCCTCCTAGTTTAACAGCAAGCCATGATAACTACTCTTTGGATATGTCTACACAGAAAGTAGACCCCTGCGGCTGACCCATTCCAGGCAACTCAGGCTTGCGGGGCTCAGGCACTCTGGGACCCTCCCATCTCACAGCAGAAGTCTACACAGCAGTGAAACAGCACCATAGTCTGAGCCCTGTGAGCGCAAATCGGCTAGCATGGACTAGCTGCGGGTGTCCAGTTGCTGTGTAGACATTCTTAGAGTACAGTTTTTCTAACCATTGTGCAGTAATTTCATCTAGACCAAATTTCCCTAGTTTGCGTACGAGTGCCATGTGGAAATGTGTCAAAAGCCTTAATAAAATCAAGATGCATCATATCTACTCCTTCCACCCTATCCAGTGACACTATCAAAGAAGGAAATGAGATTGGATTTGTCAAGAGCAAATCACGCCAAACCATGTTGGCTATTTCTTATCCCCCTGGGTTTGAACAAACTGATTGTATAATAATTTGTTTCAGTATTTTTCTGGGCATCAAAGTTGGGTGACTGGTCTCCAATTCCCCAGGTCCTCCTTTTCCCTTTTTTTGAAGACAGGTACTATTTTGACCTTCTCCAGTCTTCTGGGACTTCACCCATTGTCCCTGCAGCATCCCTTAGATGTCCCACATCTTTTGATTTGCTTCCTTCTCTGATCTCCAAAAGAGCCCCCATTCTTCGAGCAGAAACTACAGCTCCATGTCACCCAGTTACAGTCCTTCAGTTACCTGCCTCTCTGCATGAACCCCTTCCTCCATGTAACCCAGACACTGTTTAACACTAGTGTATTCCAAAGGGGTTAGCAACAGTGGGACATTTTTGCCAGTTAACCTCAGTGTAGAGAAGACCACATTGTCATTTGGGAAGGCTGGTAGTTGCTTGACACACCTTGGGAGAAACCCAACTGAGGACCACATCGTTAGGCATCTGCCCCTAACACCAGAAAAACCCATTTCCTGACCAGAAAATGTGAAGTGCCACATCAGCAAATCCTAAACTACCCAAATCATGACAAAGTCTCATATGGACAGCACACAGCAGCTGGTGCTCTCAAGCCCTTTTGCATACCTCTGCATCCCTCCAGTGGTTCAAATGTCTGCGTGGCCCTAAAGCAGGGGTCCGCAGCCTTTGGCACACAGCCCATCAGGGTAATTCGCTGGCGGGCCGCGAGATGTTTTGTTTACATTGACCATCCGCAGGTACGCCCCCCCACACACACACACACAGCTCCCGGCAGCCGCGGTTCGCTGCTCCCAGCCAATGGGAGCTGCGGGAAGTGGCACGGGCCGCAGGAACGTGCTGGTTGTTGCTTCCCACAGCTCCTATTGGCCGGGAGCAGTGAACCGTGGCCACTGGGAGCTGTAGCCAGCCGTGCCTGCAGATGGTCAACGTAAACAAAATGTCTCACGGCCCGCCAGCAGATTACCCTACTGGGTCGCGTGCCGAAGGTTGCCGACCCCTGCCCTGAAGTCACATCCTTGAAGGACTGATACTATCATTGAAGCAGATCTAGCTCATTACAAAAGACCTCAATGCCACGATTTGTTTATATGAGAGAATACTTGAAAAAAAAATTCAAGTCAATACCATCCTTACTAGTATAATATAAAAAGAAACATTCAAACAGATAAGCAACTTCTAAGGCCAAGGAAACACAGAAGGAAAATTCCATGTTGACACCATCTTTTCTTGTCTTAGAAACTGCAGAGAGTGCCTAGGAGGTGAAATCTATTTAAATTCAGGCTTTTATAGGTTCAACAGTTTTTTGTTCAATAGAAGTAGGTGCAAAACTGAGACATAGAACTAGAGTGCAAATTGTTTTCACAAAGGCCCAGCCAGTAAAATAAAAATGCAGCCCATACAGCTGAAGCTCTATAGAGCAAGAGAGGCAGTCCTGCGGATAATTATTATTTGTAGTATAGCAGCCTAGCAGACCCAATCAGGGCCCCATTGTGCTAGACAGTGGACACACAATAAGACAGTCCTGGCCCCAAACAACTTACAATCTGCACAAAATGCATTACAATCATGAGGACTAACAATTAACTGCACTTCATGTGACTGTCAATGATAAGTTTCTACATGTCACAAGTTGTGCTCCTGCATTTTCATGTCCAAGAGACACCACCACTCAAGCCACTGCAAGCAGTTAAATAGCTTTTCGCCTAATGCACTATCCTCCACACTGAGAATTAGATGTGAAAAATATGCTATTTTCGATCAGCTTTAATTAAAAAGAAGTGATTTGCCTGTTAACAGTGGAGTAAAGTGATGTTAATTGGAGACAAATGTCTAGCAACTGAATTACATTTACCTCGACCAGCACCTCAAACACATGAGTGCGCCAGATTGCTTGCCATCCAGATGGTTCAAGGACCTTCTCTAAGTACTCAGCTGTGAATTCTTTTACCTCAGAGGCCTTGCAGTCAGCTAAAATTAAATTAAAATCACTTACAACACGTATTTATGCAATAAAAGGACAAAAGGAATCAAGTTCACACATGAGCAATTAAAGGGAAGCTGAACATAATGGGGTTTTAGGGTTCCTTTATTGTGTCAGAAGTTGTCTTCAACTTTGTTCTGCTCAGTCTTTTTATTATTTGTATTGTTGTAGTGCCTGGCATTCTTAATCACAGACCAGGACCATGTGGTGCTTGGTGCTGAATAAACAGCAAACAGAAAGACAGTCCCGACCCCCAAACAGCTCAGACCAGAGGACTGGAGAGGGTACTCTCAGCCCCCCAAAAACTTCACAAAAAGAGCAACTGCCCACCGGACCACCCAAGTCTCTCATCTCAGTTATGTGACTGGAGTTAAATAAGCGGGGGAGGCACTGTTTTATCTAGTCTTATCAAAAATCCCACCCCCTTTCCATTCTTCAGACTTCAGTCTCTTCTGATGTCAAAATCCACAAGGTCTAGTCCTCCAGCTAAAAGTATGTCATGATATTTTTAATGTAAAAGTTAAAGATATTTATAGAGTCTCAACTCCATCATTAATTGACCTCTCCTGTACCTGTGCCACTAGTCTAGATCCTCTGTAGTTACCATGCTATGGATGGAAGATGGTGCAATTTAAAAGGAGGACCAATACATACAGCTTAAAACTGAATCACCAGGAAAAGGCAGCACCACAGAGATCATGACAAGAGGGAATTTTGGAAGCAGAAATGTCACTCACCCAAGATGTAATCCTGATAGGCTTTAAATCGCTCATAAAACAAAAGGTGATTTGTTTGGAACGTGTCTGGGAAAAGCACATTCCCGTCTGGCACAATCCTTCCTAAAATGGTCCCTGATTTGTCACGACTCCCATAGTCACTGCAGCTGTAGTCATCATCTTCTTGGAACAACTCTGAAGGAAAAAAGTCACAACCTCAACTCAAGTACTGTTCACTCTTTCATTCCTATCCCAGGCTAAGTGCAAAATCCACACATGCCTCCTCTCTAGACCATATGTTAATTTACCGTTGGAGTGGTGGTTAAACAGCTAAATTAGTTTTTCCATTTTTCAGGAATACACACACTTGCCAAAACAGGGTTTCCCTATCTGTTGGATATAGGCCCAAACAGGATTTTTATAACTGAGATTATGCTTTTTTTTTTCCATTAAATGTAGTATAGAGAATGTCTGAAAGGCTTTTGCTAATAGAATGGATTTCCCCAACTACTTTTTACATTAGAAATATCAGGATTGGCAAGCCTGGTTTGACTGGATGACCTCTTGGGGCAAAGTCCACCTCTTGGGGCAAGGTCCACCTCTTGAAAGGGTGCGCAATCCACTTTGTAACTGAAAGGCAGATATGTTAAATTAAATACATGTGACTGTCGAGCCCACCCCACCCTGAAGCCTTCATTAGTCACTGAATAAGCCTTAACAAGACATTCAAAAAAATCAAATCTAGCTAAAAATATATTCCCCTCAATAGTTCAGTTTTCAGTCTCTAGTGCATGTCAGTTTCACCAATTCACCTGTCACCCCAGGCTTTCTACACTAGAGACTAGAATAGTTTCTAACAACCAACTCAAGCACAAATAGTTCAGTGTGCCCATGCTAGTGATGCGGACTTCTGAGCCAGTGCAGTTTTGTCCAAATTCCACCGCTCAGCCATTTCAACTGCAATGCCTTCTAGACAGCGAGCCCACAGGTCCCCACAAGCCTGCCACAAACAGCGGATTCTCTGACACTTGAAAAAGCTACAGTGCTCTGTGGGACTGGGCTTATCTGAACCATGCTAGTACCATCCACACAAGCACAGACTGAACACGTTCTCGTTCTGCTATAAGCAATGAGGCACAGTGGATAAGGCACTGGACTGGAAGTCAGGAGCCCAGGGTTCTATCCCCAGTTTGGCCGCTGACCTGCGATGTGACCTTGGGCAATCATTCATCTCTGTGTGTGTTTCTCCTCCCCTTCTTTTTCTGTCTGGCCTGTTTTGTCTGTAAGTTTGAGGGCAGGTATTGCAGCTTCCCATGTATTAGTACAGTGCCTGGCTTAGTGGGGCCCCAATCTATTAGAACTTTTAGATGCAGACACATGTAACCCAGCTGGATCACTTGTGTGTGGACACAAACCTTTTACAAGTGTTCTATGGGGACCAAACATTCATAGTAAATTTCTATAGTGTAGAGAAGATCTGAACTTCTGATGTAAAAAACACAAAAAACTGACAAAGACCTTTCCGGCCTTTATACATCACAAAGCAGAAGAAATGTCATTGCCCTTTCCTCTGTAAACTTACCTTTAAAAAAAAACAGCTTCTGTACATGGATTATCCACACACGTGGATTTAATGGGGAACAACTTCATGTGTAGATACCCTTTAAGGTTCCTAGTTGCATTGGTGGCCTCAAGCCTGTTAAGGACCTTCCAGAATGCTACCCCCACTCAGCACTGCACCCACATCAATGATGTGTTTATGTCAGAGCCATATAAACATTAAAACAATTACTCTTTAAAGTCTAGGACAGGTCCAAACTCCACAACTGTACACCAGATCGTTCCTAGCCAGGAGCAGCATTTCTATACCTGGCTAAATCAGCCCATGAGCAACCTGCAACTACAGATACCATGGACACAGCAGAAAGGAACATTTCAGCCTTTGGTGGGGAAGTGGGAGAAGAAAATTCCCCCCTTTCCCTACCCACCAGGATCAAAAATTCAAAGGTCCTACCACCACCCGCCAGGTTTTGATGGGCATAGTTTCAGGCAGACACCCACTGATACTGAGGAAGAGCTCTGTGTAATCTGCATCTGAAGAAGTGGGTTTTTTACCCACTAAAGCTTATGCCTAAATAAATCTGTTAGTCTTTAAAGTGCTACAGGACTCCTCGTTGTTTTTGTGTAATCTCAAAACCTTGTCTCTCACAGAAACAGAAGTTGGTCCAGTAAAAGATACCTCACCAACCTTGCCTCTGATATCCTAGACCCAACAAGCTACACCACCACCGCATACACTCATTGATCCTGTCCCTTAGATGTCAACAATCTTCCTACAATTTATCACTCTGACATCAACCGTTTGTCACCGAACTGGAGAGCTGGGTGGGGACAGAAAAGAAAGGCAAGAGCGAAACCTCACCCCTGTCTCAAGGAATCAGAGCCTAGGGGGGCATTCAGTGCATCCTCACACACTCGGGGCCCAGCGCTGCTGGGGAGTGGGCACGTTAGCGAGGGGCCCGGTGCCAGTGGAAGGCTACTACCGTAGGACTGGAAAGTAAATTGCAGACTAGGAGGGGCCATGGGGCAGGATGCAAGGAAACTACATTCCACGGATCCGGGGGAAGGGGGGGGGGGGAAGAAGAGCAGGTATGGGGGAGGGGACCGAGGAATTATTAAAGCACAGGGTGCACATTCCGGGGGGAAATACAAGGGAGGGGGAGTGTGGGGAGCCAGGGGGAAATATGCTCCCGGGGAGTATAAACGGGGGAGGGGGAATGTACCTTGCTTCAGGCCCTGCACGTTCCCCTGCAGCCCGACACCGCCAGCCGCCGGGACCAGCTGCGGCCCTTCCCCACCGCCCTTCTCTTCCTCCTCCCCGTGCACCGCCAGCAGCGGCTCGGGCTCCCCCTGCGCCATGACGAACGGCTGCTCCGCGCTCCCCGGCCCGACAGCTTGGCCCCGCCCGCCCCACCTACTCTCGGAAATTTCAAACTTTCGCGGCACCGAACCCGTCCCTTATGTAAGCACGACGGAGGATTCTGATTGGTCGCAAGGCGCAGCGGGCGTTGTGGGAGCCAATGGGCAGCGGGCAGATCACCCTGCGGAACGTTGACCTGTGGAAAGTGCCGCAGGATTCCAATCCGCGGGAAGGCAGAAGGCGTCGGATGGCCGAGGCGGCCAGGGGGCTGCTCGGGGAAGGGGCGAGGTGGGCTGGGCTGGGCTGGGCTGCAGCGGGGGCCAGCAGGCGGGGTGAGCTGCTTGAAGCTGCAGGCAGCCGCGCACGCTGTATGGGCCGGGGCTGGCAGCGCGGTACGGTGCTTTGCACCCACCGCAGCGGCCTCTGGGGCCTGTTTCCCGTTCCTTCTAGCAGACGTTTACCAGACCGGTTATAATGGCAGTTAACAATAATGAAATATTCACTTGGATTACTTAAGCCCAATGCTGAGATCGTTACAGGGATTTAAGGGGTGCTTGTACTGGTCCTCTGCACTGGGGTGAATTTCACCCTCAGTGCAGAAATGTCAGACTCCTGAAACCACACATTCCTGTCAATAAAATGTTCATGCTTCTTTCTATGATATCCAGGCAGCAGAGTTTGGCGCAAGATGTAATCAGTCTGCTTGGCAGATTAACAAGCAACATATTACAGTATTTTAGTCTGGAGGAGAAGAAAACATGGGTTTCTCAGAATCAGCCAACAGCTAGACATCCTGAGTCTAGCCTTTCTTTTTTAGGCGAAAGTGGGAAGCGTTCATAATGTGCAGAACATAATGTTCCAAGAGCAATCTGAATCAAAAATTCCAGAGATTTTTACTGATGGTTCCAATTTAAATGTACAGCTGATTGAACAGGTTGTTATTGCTATAAAAGACCCTCATGGTTAGGGCTCCTCATATAGGTTTTATCCAGATATCTAAGTTGTTCCAATTTTTACAGCCCATCTCTGACTTCGCTAGGTTTCAGTATTCTTCTTTCAAATATTTTAATGGGTAACCTTCTTCTTTCCTATGTTATATTACTTTCTACCTGCCATCAAAAAAAGAACCTTGGAAAGATCATTTGGGGGCAGATTCTTTGACTGTTCCAAAGGATTGGTCAAGAGTTTACAGTGAATGTCTCCAACGACATTATCAAAGGTTAAATTCAAAATGAGGTGGACAAAGGTAGAGTTAAACAGGAAGAGTCCAGTTACCGAACCCTGTGGATAAAGAGGAGGTGACTAGCGCTAGTTATAGCGGAGACATTTTGGACAGGTAGGAACAAAAAGTGGAGAAAAGGGTACCTGAGATAAGAACGTAAGAATGGCCATACTGGGTCAGACCAAAGGTCCATCCACCTCAGTATCCTGTCTTCAAGCAGTGGTCAATGCCAGGTGCCCCAGAGGGAATGAACAGAACAAGTAATCATACAAGTGATCCATCCCCTGTTGCCCATTCCCAGCTTCTGGCAAACAGAGGCTAGGGACACCATCCCTGCTCATCCTGGCTAATAGCCAGTGATGGACCTATCCTCCATGAATTTATCTAGTTCTTTTTTGAACCTTGGTATAGTCTTTAGCAAAGAGTTTCACAGATCGACTGTGTGAAGAAATATTTCCTTTTGTTTGTTTTAACCTGCTACCTATTAATTTCATTTGGTGAACCCTACTTGTTGTGTTATGAGAAGGAGTAAATAATACTTCCTTATTTACTTTCTCCACACCAGTCATGATTTTATAGACCTCTATCATATCCCCCTTTAGTCGTCTCTTTTCCAAGCTGAAAAGTCCCAGTCTTATTACAGTGGGGAAAAATGTGCTAGCCAACCAAGAAAAATACTTTCAGATAGTATCATATGCAGCACTAAAGGCAACAAAAATAAGGGGATCAATGTCCAGTGGAGCAGACCATTGACCACACAGGAAGTTAGTACCTCAGCACAGTTTAATACTGGATGGGACAGTTTTGCTTACAAAACCATTTTGTAACTGTGCTACAGCTGTGTTTGCAGGCCTGTTTTCCAAATCGTTGTAGCATTCTGCTAATATGGGCTAGGTTCTAGAAGAGTTACTTCTGGAAATGAAGGCATCTCAAGTCAGTTACATGCAAACTAAATAACAATGGGTCCAAAACAAACCTCTGGAGCAACAACTGAGTTTAGGTGAGTGGAGCTATTTTTAGGTTAATGGAGATATAATATGACTTACACTACACTATTTTGCCAGTGCCTCCTTAAATAACAATTTTAATATATGTTAAGGTTATTTGCAGACTGGGGCCTAAATCTCTCTTGCCTTGCACTCTGTGTCATCCTTTACATCAATGCAAAATGAGTGCAGTGGGTGTGAAATGCTACCAGATCAAAAAGGTAGCATTCGGGGAAAGCGGTAGATTTAATTTTCTTAGACTTCAGCAAGGCTTTTGACACAGTCCCACATGACATTCTGATAAATAAGCTGGAGAAATGTGGGTTTGACAGAATTACCGTTAAGTGGATACATAATTGGTTAAACAACCACAAACAAAGAGTAAGCGTTAATGGAATGATGTCAGATTGGAGGGAGGTCTCAAGTGGGGTTCCATAGGGATCTGTCCTGGGTCCGGTGTTGTTTAACATCTTTATTAATGGCCTGGATGTAGGTATAGAGAGCGTACTGATCAAGCTTGCAGATGACACAAAGCTGGATTGGGGCGTCGGGGGTTGCCAACCCTTTGGAAAATAGAGCTAAAATTCAATGGGATCTTGATAAATTGGAGAACTGGGCTATAGACAACAAAATGAAATTTAACAAAGACAAATGTAAGGTGCTACACTTAGGGAAGAAAAACCAAACGCACAAATACAAAATGGGGGGAAACTGCTTGGCAGCAGCACTGGAGAAGGATCTGGGAGTTGTGGTGGATCACAAGCCCAACATGAGTCAGCAATGCGATGCTGTTGCAAAAAAAGCAAATGCGGTTTTAGGTTGCATTAACAGAGGCATAGGATGCAAGTCATGGGAGGGAATAGTACTGCTCTACTCGGCACTGGTTTGCCCTCAGTTGGAGTACTGTGTCCAATTTTGGTCATCTATGTACAGAAAAGATGGAAAAGATTCAGAGGCGAGTAAAAGGGATGGAATGCAAGCCATATGAGCAAAGGCTGAAGGAACTGGGTATGTTTGGTTTGGAAAAGAGGAGGCAGTTGCTGTGCTGCACGGAGCAGCGACCCAGAGCAGCAGGCAGGAGAAGCGCCTGGTCCCACCCCCTCTGCTCCCCGCCCAGGCCCAGCTGCCAGGAATAGGAGGCAAGCATGCCAGGGAACAGCTGCAGCAGGAGGACAGAGCCCCTCTCCCTTCCCCCTGGCAGGACAATCTGGGGATGCACTTTACCCCGCATGCCCCCCCTACTAGTGATGTAAAGGTTTAACCGTCTAACTGATAACCAAAACTGATAAGACTGATGCTTAACGATTAAACTCCACTGCCGCCCTCCGATTGGGGCTGCACTGCCGTCCTGTGCCCCGGATCCTGACAGCCAGGACCCTGGGCACGGGGCCAGCAGAACTCCTTAACGGTTAACTGTTTAACTGTTAAGGAGTTTAACTATTTTTAACCCCTATTTACATCCCTACCCCCTATGCATCGCCTCTGCCTGGAGATATGTCTACACTCAAAACTCTGCAAGTGGTGCAGCTGCACCACTTCAGAGTAGATACTATGTACACCAACGGGAGGTATTCTCCTGTCGGCATAGGTAATCCATCTAGGTCAACAGAAGTATTCTTCCATTGAACTAGTGCGTCTACACGTGGGATTAGGTCGGTATAGCTACATCGCTCAGGGGCATGGATTTTTCTATACTGATGTAAATTTCTAGTGTAGGCCTGGATATCTACAAGTTTATTACTACCATGTATGTGTTTTCTCAAACTCATTGTTTAATAGATATCACCAAAACCATGGCCCCGATCCTGCAAAAACTTGCTCACATGCTTAGCTTTTAGTTCTGTTGAGTCCAATAATTGACCTATTCACAATAAGAAAAAGACCAAAGCTGCAATGCCTATTTATTGTAAATCTCTACCATAATCCTGTAATAAAATAAATATAAATATTATGAGAACTAAATATATCTGGTTCTGATCCTGCAAAGACTTAAGCGTGTGAATAATTTTACACACGCAGTCCTAATGTCCGTGGGACTAATCAGATGTGCAGTCACTCATATGTGCTTAAATTTTCATAGTATTGGGGCCTTAGAAATTAACAAATAAATACATCATTTTAAAATAATGCCATTGTTGTAGTATAAAGAGGATACAGGAGTACTTTTTTACAATGAATAATTTTTATTCAAATATTTTCCAGCATGACATCTTTAACAAGTGTAATGACACAATACAAATATCAAAATCTTATCACCAAAAACAATGGATCTTTTCAAATGGTTTTACAGAATCAGGGATTTGTTTGGGGAAAGAGGGATCGCTTTAATTAAAATGGCCACAAGGGGGCCACCTAGCATTTCTAATCATATTTCAAAAATGTATTTCGATACTAGTCTGTTTTTTCACATTCACTTTTAGAATGTCAGTTAGTTGTGCAAAAGCAGCACAACCTTGCTAGCAATTTACATGTTCAGAAGAGAATGAGGACCTGATTCATCACTGCATTACATCACTTTTATGCTAAAGCAGATCCACTGAAATCAAGAGTTGCTCCAGTGTAAGACTGAAAGAAAACAACAATGGTTCAAAGGAAAGGAGTACTTGTGGCACCTTGACTAACAAATTGGTTAGTCTCTAAGGTGCCACAAGTCCTCCTTTTCTTTTTGCGAATACAGACTAACACGGCTGCTACTCTGAAACCAATAATGGTTCAGGCTCTGAGTCTCTTCTAAGGTATATCATCTGTAACCCTTTTGACTACATTCTGTGCATATCCACCTTGATTTTAACTATGAAATTTTGATCAATT